AATGAAATTTCTTCTATACTGACCCAGAATAGGCTTGAGATTTAAGGTAAAAGTACAACAAAACTTTTTAACTTCACTTAAGTAAATATGTAAGTAAATTTTCCATAAATAAGGCTGTTAATTGACAGTGATGGAGTTCAGAATCAAAATGTATAGTTCAGAGCCTGAATTACTTGTATGTTGCACAGTTATTTCATAGCTTCATTTGTTTTCAGATTTGCTCATCGTTAACTTTTGTTTTCTTTAGGATGTTAATTACCAGCAGTGCTATAAACGAGGTGGAATAACTAGTGGTCCACGAGCAAATTCAAGAGGTAAGGCCAACATCAGATTCCCAGGGATGCATCTGTTTGCTGCAGTGGAATGTTAGTGTAAACAGTGAGTATTGTCACTGTTATCAGACAGATACAGCTTAGTATAAATTAGCCAAGTTAAATGGAAGTGTAAGTGCTACTCTTAAGCAGTCAGCATTGCGTAGCAACGGACTTCATTTTACCATTCTCAATTTTCCTATGTCAGAGTTCTGATATAGTGATACCTTACTGAACTTTATGAATAAAATTGACTAAAATACATGCAGAATGGTACCACTGTCACATTTGGCATCTTCACTTAGTTGTATGGTCTCTCTTTGAGCTGTCAGATCCCAGAAACTTTGTAAGAGTGCTTTTCTACAGGAAATAGTTGTTTCATGAATACAGCTTTTGACTTTGTACTCCAGCATGGAACTGGTGAAGAAATTCATGCTTGGATATGCAAAGCTTGTGTTGTATAGAACGCTTTTTGAAAAGCTATGAGATGATTTAATCTTGTATATAGTTTTCCTCCTGGACTTAGTGTTATAGGTAAAAAGTGAATAAAATCTTCATTGTAAATTACTACTTAGAAGAAAAAGGGGATATCTTGGATATAATAGCAACTGTTTCAGGATAAAGTAGTTTGCCTCAACTTGCGGGGGGGGCTCAATTCTGATTCAGGGAAAAATCAGAATGTGATAGTGATGAGTGGTGTTTACAGATTTACCTGTTAGTGTTAAGTAAAGTTGCTGCTGATACCTTAGTCTTATTAGATATGTCAAGGTATTCGTTTCCTGCAAAGCAACAATGGCTTAACTTGATAGCAGCTGCTTTAAATTTGTTCTATTAATGCTTTCATTCCAGACTGAAACTAGGTCCTGTTAACTCGGATGTTTGAACAGATAAGCATTATTTCAGGCAGTAGGGTGCAGAAAGCTGAAAAGCTATCCTAGTTTTTCAGACTTGTATTCTTGTCACGTCAAGCCATATCTACTTGTCATGTTAAAATATTACATCTCCAGAAGAACAGTACTGAGGAAACATTAGATGCAGCTTCAGGCCTTTAAGGTGTCCAAATAATTGTGTCTTTTAGTGATTCTGCAGAGTTTTTCCAGAACTTGTTTTTTATTTCCACTCAATCAGCACATACTGTTTTATGATGAGGTACGGTAATTTTTAGCTGTGCAAATGCTACAGCTAAAAAGCTATTGCAAGTCACTGCCTCTCCTATTTAGAAGTGTGAGAAGTCACTGTTTGTAGTTGAATTATGGTCCATCTTGCTGAATGCAATGTGAAACAACTTCAAAGTTCTGTCCTCACTGGCGTCCTTTGACAAATTCCTGTAGCTGAGACAAATGTGTTACAAAACAGATTTTCTGCTAAAGAACAAGCTTGCAGGTTTAAGGTACCCTTCTGTTATAATACTTATCATTGCTAATGATCTTTAACAGCAGGGTGGAGTGATTCTTCTCAGGTGAGCAGTCCAGAACGAGACAATGAAACCTTTAACAGTGGAGACTCTGGGCAGGGAGACTCTCGCAGCATCACACCTGTTGATATGCCAGTGACAAGCCAAGCTGCCACTATACTACCAGTGCACGTCTACCCCCTCCCGCAGCAGATGAGAGTTGCCTTCTCTGCAGCTAGAACATCAAACCTGGCCCCTGGAACTCTAGACCAGCCAATTGTGTTTGATCTATTGCTGAACAACCTTGGAGAAACATTTGACATCCAGCTTGGTAGATTCAATTGTCCAGTGAATGGTACTTATGTCTTTATCTTCCACATGCTGAAGCTGGCTGTAAATGTTCCCCTGTATGTGAACCTCATGAAGAATGAAGAGGTCCTAGTGTCAGCATATGCAAATGATGGGGCTCCTGATCATGAAACAGCCAGTAACCATGCAGTCCTGCAGCTGTTCCAGGGAGATCAGATCTGGTTGCGTCTGCATCGGGGAGCCATTTATGGAAGTAGCTGGAAATACTCTACTTTTTCGGGATACCTCCTTTATCAGGACTAAAATACAGTGCAATGTTTACAAAAAAGCTGCTCCAAACACCTTGGTGGAGGGGGGGATGGGACTAGCTTTGCACTTACTGACTTTATAGAAGATGTGGTTCCATTATTGGGGGAAATGATGGTCCTGTTGTGCAAGGTGAAATCATGGAGTTGGGGTACTGAATCAGCACTAATTTGGCACTTTATCAGTTGTGATGTAGCCTTGCTAGTAAAGCTGTGAATGTATATTGTTTGCACTTACCCTAAACTGTATTAATGTCCAGCTTACTACACTATTGATTGCCTCAAGTATGGGCTATTCACAATGCCTTGTTGTGCCTCAATAAAACAAGTTAATATGCATTTTAGTATTAATCTTGCTAGTGGTCTTTATTTTTAAAATATCAGGCTAGTTATTCTTTGTTTGGGCTGTATGTGCATGTTCATACTCCATATAGAACTTAGCTTCAGGTTTCAGTAATTCAGGCGGTAAACTAGTTTAAATGGGATTACTTGGTTATTTGTTTCTTCACTGCTTTCTCAATTGAAGTGAATGCAAGAAGTTGCATAGCTACTTCTAATTTCTTGACCTTTCTGTAAAATTGAAATGAAACTACATGGTTTACTTGGACTACTTTAAATGCATGTTCTATCAGCTTTTGCTACTGAAGTAGCAGCTAGCTGAAATTCTTAAACCTCAAAACAGTCACTGAAGGACTTGCTCACACTTATACTGCATTCATTCAGATGTAATATATCTTAAGCTACAAGTGACTCTTATGGAGTCCAAACCTGTACAGCTTCCCTCTCACATGAGTTTAACTTGCATTGCAAGCTGCTTTTCTTCCTTTCAGAACACTGCTGAGGAAGCTGGTGTTTGTAGTTGAAGCCTGCTCTTTGCATCCTAAATCAAACCTGTATACAAGTGCTAGGAGGCATTTATTAAACATTTCTTACAGCTAAAGGAGGTGTATGAATATCTTCAGCAATCTCATGGCCTAGAAACTGGAAAGTGATGGAAGTTCTTATCCAAGCTTCATGTCATTTTAAACATGAAAAATGCTTTCTAGTATTTGACAAGTCTGAACTTCTAAGAGCTAAAAATCTAGTTTTTTTCTACTTTTAAGAGCTGCTGTAGTCCCAGCAGTAGGTGTACTTTACTTAAGTATTCCAGTGAGAGAGCTAGTGAAGAGACTGGTACATCTAAGGATGAACCCAAAGTGCTTTAAAAGCAGTTCAGCTAACTGCTTCATTTACAAGTAAAAACTGATAATGGAGTAGAAGTCAGACCTGGTATAACACTGCTGTTTTTTAGTAACTGGTTTCAAAATGTCTTTCCTCCTGCTGCCCCATGGATCCCAAAAAGAGTCATCTGGCATGTTACGAAGTTACTGTCATTGAAGACCTTGATTTTATTCCAAGTCTAGATTTCTTTTTCATACATCTACTTAGATGGTAGTAATAGTCTTGATTTAACTTCTGTGGTAAGTTCTAAAAAGTTTGGGGTAAAGCTTCAGGAACCTGGATATGACAAATGTCAAGCTGTACCTATTGAGTAGTAAATGTATTTTATATTTTTAAGTGTACATGCTCTGACTTTATTGAATGTGATCAATGAAGGATCAGAGGCAGGACTACGTAAGATATTTAGTTTCTTTAACCCCTGACTTTGTCAATTCTCCTTCCTATAATTATGAGAATTTAGTTGGTAAATTGAAGTGCTAGGATAAATTTGTTTGCAGTAGTAGGCACCTGCAGCCAAACTCAGACTTCACTGCTTTTGTAATCTTGTAGCTCTGGGTTTTTAGGCATCTTGAGCACTGAGTCCCTTGTTTTTCATGCTATCTTACTAGGGGGCTAGGAAATTAACCCTACTGTGCACATAGAAAGGTATCCCTTGCATTACAGTTGCCTTAGGACCGGGTCTTTATTTGGCATGTAGTTTGTCATACTTGGCCTTACTGTATGTACTTGCACTATGGATTTTTCACTTTTTTTTTTTAAGAACGTGATCCCAATAGTTAAAAGCTTTGCCTTTGGCAACCTCAGACATGGTCACTGTGACTATATAAAGTGTATGTTGTTTCCTAATGCTCCAGTTGAACTGGTCTGGACAACAGGATGACTAAGGCGATCATGTTTGACTCTAACCTTACCAGCAGACTGAGCAAAGCTTTTGCATATATTTAAGATCTGAAGTAAACAGGTAAGAGACATCTCAGCTTCAAAGCTGGTTGTCTACGTAAAACTTTTAAGTTTGTAACTAAAAGTGTACACAGCCTTAGGAAGAAGTGCTAAGATGAGAAAAACATGAAATCTATTGATTACACTGTGGCTTGATGGTGGATATGACCATAAGACACAATGAACAGCTATCCAACACCTCATAGTTTTAAGCTTTGTAACTGCAGTAATATCTGTATTAGCCCAGATTTTCTTTCTCTGTAGTCAGAGAGTTGCTTGCATAACTAAATGAAGTAATGCGCTTTAAATACGTGAGGATGATGATAAGGTCTCATTAAAGCATACAAATGGAGATGGTGGTTCTTCTGCTACCTTCCTATTCTTATATTTCCTACGTAAGTCTGATACCACCTCAATTCCATCTGCTTACCTTTTGCAGTTTCCTAAACTACGCTATTCAAGGCAGTTGAGGCACGGACATTAGATTTTAGTCCGGACCGAGTGAATTTCCACAGTTCCTTGTGGCAGCTCAGCGAAATGCTGGAACAATGAGGCAGTGAAGCTCCCCAGGCAGCAGCCCGAGCTGAGGGGACGCGGCGGCGGGCTGGGCGCGCTGCTGGCCGTACCGCAACATGGCCGCCCCCACGGCCCCCTGCCGTCCGTACAGCATGGCGGCCTCCGCGCCGAGCCAGAAGGAGGCGCCGCGGCCGTAAAGCAGCGCCCGCTTCCCGATACCCAGCTGTCGCAAACCGGTGAATGGCTCTGGAGAGGGACCGGGGGGTGGGGGACACGAGCTCGCGGTCGCGGCGCGGGGGGGCGGCGGCGGCGGCGGCTCCGCTCCCTCCTCCTGCCCCCGGCGGAGCGCGGCCTGCCGGCCGGGGGACCGCAGCGTGCCGAGATGGACCCCAACAGGATCATCCAGGCGCTGAAGGGCACCATCGACCCCAAGCTGCGCATCGCAGCCGAGAACGAGCTCAATCAGGTGAGGGGGGCGGACGCGGCCGGCGGGCGGCCGGCGGTAGGCCCGCCCCGCCCGGCCGCACCGCACGGGGTCTCCCGGCCCGGCCGGCAGGGGCGGGGGGTCGAGGCGCCCCCTCTTCCGCACTCCGGCCCTCCCCTGCGCCGCGCGGGCGGGGGGCGGCGGGGCGCGGGCGGGAGCGGGAGCGGCGCGGGGCGGCGGTTGGGGCCGCGGCTGCCGGACTGCGAGCGGGGGCCCTGCCCGCGTCCCGCCGGCGTCCCTCGCCCTGACGGACCCGCTTAGCCCCGCTCAGCGGCGCTAAATTAAACTTTGGTTAGTTATGGCAACATCCCGCGTTCGGTGCGACGGCGCCGTGCGTGGCGTCGGAGTGCTGGCCGCGGCTTCGCTCGGGCGTCAGCGGTGCTGCGAGCCGAGTGCTGCGGTACGACGCCCGATCCGGCCTATTAAAGAGCCCTGGGTCGCGGCCGTGCGGTAGATGCCACGCCGTGAGGGTGGGTTGTCAGGTTGTTGCCGTATCGGGGCTGCCCTTCCGGCTCGGTTCGCTATTTGGGTAGCGGAAAGCTCCTTTCGAGCCGGGTACGGCTAATCCCTGCCGGCGAGGGCTCACAGCAAACGGATGGATTAAGTGCAGGGCACTGAGAACGCTTCTGGAGAGATGGATAACATGCAAAACTTTTCTCCTGTTCGTTTGGCATGGTTACTTCAACAACACATCAGTGCTTTCTTTCTTTTTTTTTTTTTTTTTTTTTTTTTCTGAGAGGGACGTGAATATTTGCTGGCAGGTTGTTGCACCAGGATGAGTAGGGCAGGAAGGGCTGTGGGTGTCAGAGCAAAGTCTGTTGGGATCCCCAGGTCCTGCTGCCCACACTGCCACTGCTGTCACCACCGAGTGCTGCAGAGCTCAGGGAAAGTTAGAATGAGTTCTGAGATTGGAAAGTTAGAATGAGTTCTGAGATTGTGGCCTTTAACTGTTTGAATTTCAAATGACGGGTAATGCAATTCTCACAAAATTCCTAGGTTCCAGTTTCAAGATTGCAAGTGCATTTATCAAGAACAGGCTGAAGTACAGAGTTTTATTTGAAACAGAATCACGGAATATCCTGAATTGGAAGGGACCCACAAGGACAACTGAGCCCAACCTCTGGCTCCACACAGCACCACTCAAAACCCAAGCCCTCTGCCTGAGAGCGGTGTCCAAATACCCCTTGACCTCTGACACTCGGGGCCATGCCCAGTGCCCTGTGCATCCCGTTCCATGCCCACCGCCCTGTGGTGCAGACCTGTCCCTCACCCCCCGCTGCCCTCCCCTGACACAGCTCCATGCCGTCCCCTCGGGCCCTGTCGCTGTCACACAGAGCAGAGCTCAGCGCTGCCCCTCCGCTCCCTGTGAGGAGCTGCAGCTGCTATCAGGCCTCCCCTCAGCTCCTCTGCTCTGGGCTGAGCACACCCAGGGCCCTCAGCCGCTCCTCACACACCTTGCCCTCCAGATTCTTACCCACCTTCATAACCTCCCTGTGGACACTCTCTCATAGTTTTAGAATCACAGAATTACTGAGGTTGGAAGGGACCTCAAGGATCATCAAGTCCAACCACAGCCTAACCATAGTACCCTAGCTCTAACAACCCTCTGCTAAATCGTATCTCCGAGCACCACATCCAAACGGCTCTTAAACACATCCAGGGACAGTGACTCAACCACCCCCTGGGGAGCCTATTGCAATGTTTAACCACCCTTTCTGTAAAGAAGTGTTTCCTAACGTCCAACCTAAACTTACCTTGGCAACAACTTGAGGCCATTTATGTCCTTTCTGTGCTGCTGTGCCCCAAATCACACCCAGTGCTCGAGGTGAGGCGCATAGCGCAGAGCAGAGCGGAATAGTGGCAATGCCGTGCTGACGGATTTCTCTCTTTGATTGTAAAGAAGTAACCTTGAAGTGAAGATGTGCTTATTGCTGTGCAGGCTTCCCATCTTTAAACAAAGCATGATGTATGTGAGTGATACAACACACTGGGCTTTTGCTTCTGTTACAAATCTTTGAAACAAAAAGTGTTCTTGAAGAGTTCGCTAACACTGGCCTTTGACATCTTGAAACCTTTCAGTGCTTTTGAAGCAAGACTTCAAAGCTACATGTCAGACTTCCACGCATGTAATGTCAGTGTTGACATGGTGCTGTGAGCTGCATGAGCTGGCATCCACATGCTGCTCCAGCTTTTATCTTGCTCTAGCAAAGAAACCAGTTGAGCAGCAGAACAAAAAATGCTCCATCATCGAGTGATTGGAGTGGTAATACAGTGCTTTTCTAGGAGAACGGGGGTCACCTTCACTTCTGTTCAACAGCTGCAGTGCTGCTGCTCCTGATAAGCAGTAGAGGATACTGGGGTGAAACATCCCCTGTGCTGTCCTGTCTGTAGCATGCAGTGCTTTCAAGCTTGAATCCAGGCAGTGACTTGTGCTTCGTACAGAGCTGGAGCCATTCCAGCAATACTGTTCCTCTTTGTATGCACTTGGTGCTTGTACTGACACAGAGTCCTTTAGCAATAACCTCACAGTGGCTCTACTCCATCATCTGCTTGCCTTGTACAATATGTATGTGATGGAGTTAAAGTTGATGAAAACTTATGAATCTGTAAGGAGTGCCAAGATGTCTGAAAATGTTTCTTTCTGTTCTTTAAGTTCTTGCACATGAGTAAAGAGGGAGAAAAATCAGTGCTGTTGCTTTCTGCTTTCTGGATTATCATCTAATTGCTTTCAGAAATGGAATCAATACTCCATTTAAAGTTACTATTTCTTTTTCTTGTCCTTATTATCTTTATTGGAAGGCTGTTTGTCAACTCTTTTCCTCCAGCAGCTAGAGACAAATGTCAGTTTCCATCCTAAACTAATTTACGGTCCATTTAGATCGATCCGTACCAATCTTACTTCTTAACTAGGAGAGACTTCTTCGTACTCACCCTGACGTACTGTTAGAGGCTGATCTCCACCAGCTTGTTTTCCTGGCCTCAAACTGTGTTTCCTTTGCATTATCATAAAACTGCATTTTTGAAATTTAATAGCAAAAGAGGAAGGCTCTTCTCTTCATTTATCTTTGAAGTAAATCTTTCTTGTGCAATCTGGTCATCTGTGTTAGCAGCATGTCAGAATATCTCATGCTCAACACCATTAATACCTTGCTTTATATATCCTAAAGCCACAATTATCTTCTTCATGTTCAGCACTTACATTATCTCTTATCATGTAATAAAGCAGGGTCCTGTTATCTCGTTCCTCACTAACGAGCCACAAGGTTTTAGGAGAAATTCCTGTTTAATGTACTTCCATGTACTTTGTCCTATTACTCCATTCCATTTTTGTTGCAGCAGTTCCAAAGATAATTCAGTTCTTTGTAGGCTATTTCTAATCGTTCTCCTCTGCTAACTCTGAGTCATGAATGAACTTCATTTCCCTCAGTGACCTGTACACAAATATAAGTGTGGCAATTGTCTAAATGTGGTTCTTGATAAACTGTAGCAGGGATTACTGACCAGCCAGGTCAGTAAATCTTGTAACTGCTATCATTTCCCCGTTAGCCTGTTGTTTCTCTTAAATGTACACATTTCTCCATCTCCCTCCTTTTCTTTCATTTTTCAATGGTTTTCTTCAGTTCTGTCACACTGTGATTGGCCTGTGCTTCAGAATCATATTTGTCGACCATGCAGTTTTCTTAGAACAGTTGATTTCCATAGCAGAGAAAGATGCTCAGTTTCCACACACCCTCTTGCTCATAATGCCCTTCTTTGATATCTGTGGTATTTATTATCCTTTCTAGGTCTGTCTCATGGACCTAAGGGATTTTGATAGTTAAATACTGCTTTCGTGTACCAGTTCTTGGAATGCTGTGGAATGTTATTGTCTGGATACGTGAGCATGCACAGTCACCTCCAACTTACTCCCATTTGGATAGGATTACCAGTACAGTTCTTAAACTTTCATCTTCACCGACTCAATCTGCTGCCATACAGTCCTTTGACCTGTGACAAGGGGACGAATGAAATTGCAGGAATATAAGTGCTTGTTTACATATATTGAGGAGTTGCAGAATTCGGCTTTGTTGGGAACTGAGAAGCAGTGCTGGAAGAAGAGAAAGAAATGTGAGGATATGAGTTGGCTGCCATAGCGTGCAGAGATCTTTGGGCCTTTGTGAACACAGCATTGAGCGCCTTGGTCGAGGGAGGAATCTTGGATATTTGTAGTGAAGACTGATTTGGTGAGGAAGTTGGCTTGCATGAAGTTCTGTGGGAAACAGGGTCTGTTTGACACTGGATGAATTTGGTAGCAGAGGAAAGCAGGTGGGGTAGGGGTTCTTATACGTGTGCATTTTCATCTCCCAAAACGATGCCTGTGCTTGTAGTCAAGGAAAGAAGCAAGTATCTTTTGAAGTTCTAGTTTGTTTTAACAACCTGTGCATGACTGCCAGTATAAAAATGAGAGCAAATACTAATAGCAATGGCAAAATTATGCCCAATGTGATGAATACTGATGGGGTTTCTAAGTAACGCATTTGAAGTGCATCACAAAGAAAAATGGAACTTAGTAAACCAGATAGCTGAGCATTCAAATAAAATGCGTGGAAGCCTTAAAATAATTTTTGCAAGCAGTTTATTGCATGGATATTCAAAGATGAACATGTCTTCTACCTGTTCATCTTTGCAAATGAAGATGTAGTAGCTTGATTTTACAGCTGGAAGGACAAAAAGCCTTTTTGAAGTGCCCTTTTTGCTTGCAGAGGAGCAGAGAAGGGCGTGCTGCTCACCACTGTGCATCTCGCTGTTGCGGCCTACCTGAGGTGTTCTGTGCTCACCCAGCAGAAGAGGAAATGGCCTCATCTCTTCCCTGTACTGAGCTCATACCTGACAGCTCTGCATCTGCTCACAGAACACCTGCGGCTTCACCTGCTGTCTTCAGTTACCTCCCGTATGATTTCTAGAGCCTGGGAGGGAATGGGTCTGTCCCAAGATCTCAGTGAGCACGACAACAAACCAGTGAGAATGTGCTGGTGTAGGAGAAATATTGCTGCGTGCAGCTTTCTGGAAGTCCTCTGTTCCAAATGTTGCAAGCAGCGCATGGTTTTCCTGACTGAGTTTGCTGCAGCACCAGTGAGCAGTGTTTGAGTTGACGGGTGTAAGAGGAGCTGGGCTGCTTTATCTCAGAGAGGGCCAGCTCTGGGCCCAGCTGGCTGCTGGCTGCCAGCCAACACAAGGCTGGCCTTGGGGCTCCGGTGCATTTGTTGTGAAAGGTTTGGGAACTTGGGGTGCTTCAGCCAGGTGGCCCTGAAAGGTGGTGTTTCAGTGTGTTCATAGATACGTGGGGCTCTTGGCCTGCATGGTACTGCTTTTCCTTTACCTCGAGTGTTGCTTATGGATAATTAAAGTGTACAGGGAAGGGAGAGTATGCTTTTGGTTTGCCATTGCTGCTTTTATCTGAGATCTCGGGCTGCTCCGCAAACATCAAATGAGTCTCTGAACACAGAGTGGGTTAGAACTGCGCTGTCATTACCATGAGAGAAATGAGGGTCATAAAGTTAGGTGATTTAGCAAAATAGTTGAAAGACAGAGTTCTGCTGCTGCTGTTACTCTTAAGTATCATGAAAGCTATGTAATTTTACCTCATTATGGAAATGTTCGATCAAGGAATCGGGGACATGAACTGCAGAACACATCCCTTTGTGTCACAGCTTTTGAATGAGGCTAAGTCTGTGGGAGGAGGTAGCATACGTGTGCTTAAAGCCCAGCTCTGGAGGTAACCACAGGACTGCCAGACATACTCTGCTTGGCAAGAAACGAGATACAAGGTGAAATAAAGAGCGCTTCTGTCATCTAGCCCCCAAGAAGTGTCGCTCTGAACATCAAACACATAGATCCAAGTGATGAAAGATCTGACCTACTGCTAACTACTGATGTTTCCAAGGCTTAGCAGTAGCTGCACCATGCTGAGTCAACAGTTCTTCACATCGGAGGACCCCTGGTGAATGGCAGCAGTATAATGCTATCAGGTTTTCACATCTTTTAAACCTAGCATGCTTTGCTCAGAAGTTCAGTGAGCATTGTTTTCTCTTTGAAATTCTTCAGCTGCATGGCTGATGTAGCGTTCACTAAGTTCCCAGGAAAGCTGTGGGGTTTGAAATATTATCTGTCTACACTTGGTTTTAATTAAAAATGATCATTCCTTTTTTTTTTTTTTTTTTTTAAACCCAGTTTTTATTTTTCTCTTATGGTGCACTATACATCTAGTCCATTAAAATGTTGCTGAAAAATACGTGGCTTGTTTGACTTACGAGGCTAAGTTAAATAATTCAAGGACAGATCTGTGCTGAGTCTCATTATACATTCTCAGAATTATTTAAATATTCATTATCACAAATTTCAGTTAGAGAGCCAAGTCACATTACTTATTTCTCTGCTCTGCTGCTTTACGCTCAGCTTTTACAAGTAATTATTTAGAATGCTGCTGATTTGGGTAAATCCATGTGCTAAAACCTTTCACACTTCATCAGGAAAGTCAAAGAACTCCACAAAATCCCCTGCCTCTATTTGTTATTCTGCTTCTGGTAATACAGTCTTCTTTAAACAATGATTTGCTAACTGTGTTTTATATATATTTCAGTCCTATAAAATCATCAATTTTGCTCCAAGTCTACTGCAAATCATAGTATCAGATCAAGTTGAGTTTCCGGTGCGTCAAGCAGGTAAGATGAAATCCTTGTTTCATTTTCCTTCAGTAAAAATTTGGTCTGTTAGTAATTTCAGCAGAATATTGAGCTGCTGGAATGTGAGTTCATGTTTGCTCTGAACATGGAAATGGAAAGGATAGAAACTTTTCTATATCTGTGCAGCTTTTTTTCTTACATCCCTGTGTTTGTAGTGATCCCTACTGGATTACAGCAAAAATGATATAAAACCAGAATGATTTCTGCTTGTACTGAAGATATTGAAGCGGAAAAAAAAAAAAAAAAAAAAAGTGGATCTCGTTTGAGTACTTTTCCTCTATTAGAGTCCTTTTTCCTGAAAAAGTGAAGTTTACTGAAAGATGAAAACAGTTTGTAGATCAAGGGTACTTATTCAGTATCTGTGGTGTTTGCTCACAAAAATGAAGAAGGTCACATTATGGTAAGTTACAGATCTGTAGTCTGAGCATGTCTAGAAAGATTGCCTCACTGTGTGCGTGTGTGTGCTATCAGGAACAGCAATGCAGCTGACTGCAGGGTGTACATTTGTGTAAGATCAGATTCTAAATCCTCACAACCTATTTTGACTATCATTACACAGTATTTTTTACAGATTGACAAAATATTCAACTTTTTCAAAAAATTGATGAGTGCTGTTTCATTCTCTTTCTGTCCTATGGAACAGCATTTCCATTGAACCACTGTTGGTTGTATTTTATTTTTCTTCTGTACAGATCCTATTAATCCCCTGAGTGCATTGAGGCATGCTGACATACGCTGTTTGTCATGCTGGCGTGTATATTTTCAAAGACAATCCAACTTTGAATGGCATTTTTAAACCATCCTGTGGTAACGTTTGTTGGTTAATCTGGACTCCATAGGGTCATTTTCATAAATTAATCCTTCATTCGAGAATAAATACCATTTTTTTAAACTTTATTAGTTTTTTGGTTTGTTTGTTTGTTTTGTTATTTAGAGAATGGAGGTATAAAATACAAAAACACATTTAAAGTAAATCTGTATATCACCAGGTTTCCCTAAGTTTTTGTAAACAGCCAAGAATCTGTGTAACATTAAGACTTATGGACAAAGTGAATTAAAGTCTTTGTCTGATCTTTCTGGACCTGTTTTTTTTTTTTTGGTCTGAATATTCTGGCATTTAATAGTCAAAGAACAATTTGTCCTCTTCTTCCTACATAATATTTTACAAACTGCATGTTTTCATGCTCGGTAATTTGTCATGACAAAAAAAGTTGGGCACAAGAATGTCTTTTTCATACTTTAAAACCCTAGTCAATAATCAGCCAAAGTTGTAAAGGGATAAGAGTTTATTAAGAATGTTACTTTAATGTCTTACAGTGTATTTCCCGTTTTCTAAAGAATGCCTACAGGCATTTCAATACTGAGGCATAAATGCTGCTTATTTTCAATAGAAGATTAACTTTATTTTGCATGGTTTTTCGCATGAGACAGACAGGAACAATTCTGAGGGATTATGGGAAATCCTAGCAGTGAGATAAAGCTTAGGGAATTCACAACAAACATTTCTATCTGAATAGAAGGTAGGCCATGTGCCAGTTTCATACTGGGCATTTCCCCAAGCAGAGCGTCCTCTCTGTGCGTACAATGATTTGTTTACATGAGCTTTCCAAAGCTTCACTTACTGAGCTTGATGAGTTATTTTAGATGTGTGTAAAAATGTTCTCAACTGTTCTTAGTTCTTACAATTGTTACAAACCCGTGCAGAGGTTTTCAGTTGTCTCTTCTGTTCTTTGTTCTGCTTTTCAACTGTACTACTGTACACATTGAGCACAGTAATGTAGAGATGTTTTAGAATTAAATCCAAACTATTATTTCCACATCTCTTATACGTAGCTGCCATCTACCTGAAGAACATGGTGACGCAGTACTGGCCTGACCGTGAACCACCTCCTGGAGAAGCAGTATTTCCTTTCAACATTCATGAAAACGATCGTCAGCAGATTCGTGATAACATTGTAGAAGGAATAATTCGCTCTCCTGACTTAGTGAGGTATTCTTATGTTTTGTAGGGAGTCTTTTTATTGCTCAGGTTTTCAGACCTACCAGTCCAGATGTGAAAATCTCAATCTTTTGGGAAATGAAGTCAGTGCTTCTTTTGAGAATATAGAAATAATAATCAATTTTAGTGTATTCATTTTAGCGTGCATTTGTTTTTTTCAGAAATGTGTTAACTTGGCTAAGTGCACTGTGATTGATTCCCTTATGGTGTAGTTGGAAGTATCTTGTAATGGCAGCCTGTCAGTACAGCTGATTCAGGGCAGACAATAATACAGAATTACCCATTCAAAAATTACAGCTCAAAATCCATTTGTTTTTCTAGTAGCTCTTACCTCAGTTACTTTCCCTTTTTTTTTTTTAATGCAATCCTAGCATTTAAATTGACATTCTTGATTTTAAGATGCTAAAAGAATAAGAAAATGCTGTTCTGTTTTTACTGGAAGAATAGTTAAGATTCACAGATTTGCTGCAATATGTGATTGTTCATGATGTTAATTAGAGTGAGGCTGATAAGAAGGGGTCAGGCTGTGATGTGCATCTTTGAAAAACAGATGAATATCTTCCTGGCTTTTCCTCTTCCTCTCCACTGACTCTGTTCCCAAAGATGTATTCTTTGTCAGTAGTCATATCAGGAAGAGTAGTGATGGACTATAGATTAAAATTAGGATTAGGGAAAACACTTTGATTAAGAAACATGATGAAATAGATGAGTTCGTTAGGATGCTATAGTATTGCTGTCACTGGAGATCTTTATGAGTACATTAGACAAACATCTGACAGGAATTGTGTAGGGTATAAACGGTCCTGCACTAAGACACTGTTTGCATTTCAGCTTTCTGAAGCTCTGACTTTAATGTTTAGAACCCCCACTAAAAGAACCGCTTGTCAAGAATGTCCTACAGTGTAAGGAAGCTTGTGTTGTTTCTGTAGTAGTGCAGAGAGGGCACGTTGCTTACTGTGTCGTCTCATCATAATTACTAAGGCTGAGTTTATATTAAAGAACACAAAATAATGGAAGTATGAGAAGGTTTTTACAAACTAGTTCAAACATTTTTTCATAATGTGGGATTACAAATAGAAATTCTGAGATTACAATGACCATCTATACATAAAAGAACAGTTGAAACTGACCCCTAGAAAATTCACCTGGAATAGGGTGTTTCTAAATACTAAGAACTTCTATATTTGTCAGAGAATAGAAATGGCAAAGAAACATTATTGGGACTAGTCCGATGCTGTGATATCAGTATTTTTCACTGTTTGCTCATAAGAATAAGGGAGAAGAACAAATCAAATCAACAACAGGGACAAACTCCAAAGGCTTGAGGAGGAAGGCAAGTTTGTACAAAGCTCAAAATTTGAGAGGCTTGAGAGCCTCTGATTGAATTACTTGGTGTTTGTGGCTCCGTATCTATTAGGCTGCAAGGAAAGATAAATATAAAAGAAACTTTACTACAGACTTTTATTCCTTAGCAGAGCCAAGAGCATGTACAGCTTCTTATGTAATGCCTCTAAAACTTTGTAGTCACAGTACCTCATTTCAGGCAGTTAACAGCTCTGTCTTGCCACAGAGTGGCTTCAAAGAGTTTATGGAGGGAGAAGAGCAATACAACATTTTACCTCACTCACTCTGCTGTTCTGGAAGATCACAGGAAAATCATAATTTGATGAGGAACCTCTGGCTTGGATTATAACACAAATCAGTTTTGTTTAATTAAAAACATACAAATTCGTGCTCTTGTGGCTGATTTCAGCCTTGTAAGTACGTAGAAGTATAACCATTCATTTTCAAAATACAAAGCTAGCTAATTTTGTGCAATTAATTGTTTTCAGATATTTCCTGGTGATTGTGGAGAGTGAGGAGGAACAGAGAAAAGCGGTTAAAGTGGTTAAAATATTCTGAAATTAGTTCCTTCTTTAAAGTTAATCCTCTGGGACTTTTTTTGTTTGTTTGTTTTCTTCTGTCACCTCCCATAACTTTCAGTGTTATCAAAACAGGTATAATGCTTTAACACTTACGGTGCAATATTTACATTGTAGCTATTAAGCCAAGATTTGGGATCTGTGCTTTAATATTAAACACTGTGCTTTAATTACTTATCTTCTACTGTGTTTCTCTTTCCCTCCTGCCACAGAGCCCAGCTGACAATGTGCCTGCGTGCTATCATTAAGCATGACTTTCCTGGCCATTGGACAGCGGTCGTTGACAAGATAGGCTACTACTTGCAGTCTCAAAACAGTGGGAGCTGGCTTGGGAGCCTCCTGTGCCTGTATCAGCTGGTGAAGACTTATGAGTAAGTTGATGTCCATCAGTAGACAAGGACACAGTACTTTGGTTTTTCATCTGATTATCAAGAATGACATTCATAAAGGCACTGGCAGCTTTACATGGAATTCTGATAGAGAATGAGATTTAATAATTGACATATGCGTTCTTTCCTGCAAATAAATGAAAGCTTCATCATCTTTATATCATCTGTAAGTTGTAAGCAGAGATTCCAGCAGTAAATAACCTGTATGACTTTAGTGTTGTTTTTTTTTTTTCTTCAGGCTTTGTCATTTTGATTTTATTTACCCTAGCTTTGAAAATTTCTTAAATGCTTATAACTTCTTTTGTTTGAAGATTGCCCAAATGCAGGAAATATGAATACAGTAATTCTCTACTTTTGTGTTATAATACAGTACTGCCTGTCACGTAGTCCTACTGCATGTTGTTAACTGTACTATCCTTCTGATAGTCTAAATCTGGAAAGCATAAATTAGCAGCAGTGCAGTGAGCTCTCTCATTTAGGAAAAAAAAAATCTGGTGCTAGGAACATATGTATAAATTACACAAAAGAAATGTGAGTGGAAAATGGCAGTTCACTACTATTTGTCCAGCCACCTAGCTTGGGTTTGGCATTGGTATGAATGACAGAGAAAGCCAAGTCCCTGTTGCTGTGAGCTTCTAGCTCAGTAGCAAAGAATATTTGTATAATATCTTTTTTTTTTTTTTTTTATTTCTCTATTTAGAGATTTCTCTATGTTAGAGATTTAGCATGATTTGTTTGAATTATGAGACGGGGGCTGGAGGAGGGAGAGTCAATCAGTGAATGCTGGATTTTAGTTGTTTTAAGATGCAGTAATTAAATTATTAGTGAATAGAAGTATGAGAGTCTCCGGTGCGTAGATCCTTGACCAACATTTTTGTTTCCTTTGCAGATACAAGAAAGCAGAGGAGCGAGATCCTCTGATAGCAGCAATGCAGATATTTTTGCCTCGTATTCAGCAGCAAATGATCCAGCTTCTGCCTGATAATTCCCATTACTCTGTGCTTCTTCAGAAACAGATTTTAAAAATCTTCTATGCTCTTGTTCAGGTTGGTGTCTGTATACAGAAAAAACAGAACTTCTACATTGCTAAGTACAACAATCCCCTTCAGTGCACTCATGGGTGTCTTTGAGTAAAAATGCCGATTTGGATGGGAAAAGTAATGTTCAATAAATACCCTTTATAAAGATATGATTTTTATAGATTTGTTTACCTAAGAACTGGTCACATAATCCCCACTGTTACATTTTTAATTAATCTAATTATTTCTGCACATCCTGTCTGTAAGCTTGCTGGAGAACTGCTTCTATAGTTATAAAGTCAAACATAATCTGATAGAAACAATGAGTATCTAGAATCTGCTGCTTAGCCTCTGAAAATGGCAGTAGTTACATATTGTATTATAATTGCCAGTGAGTGCACTTTATTAGGTGGTGTTTCTCATTATCTTCTAAAGATCTGGGAGAAATTATTTGTTGAGGCACATGCATTTTCAGAGATGTGTTTGGCTGTTACAAGGGTGAGTCTGGTGAAGAAGTATTTCTAAAGAATGAGAAAGAAGACAAGATCCTACATCAGGCGCAGCCTGAAAGGCCTTGCTGAAGGTTAAAAAAAAAAAGCTGAAATGATTTATTATTAGATGGAAGGGTTTTTAAAAAGTTCAAAAGGCCCTATTTTATTTTGAAAACACTTTCCTGAATATTGTCACTACTTTGGATTTTGTAGAGAAGTAACATTTCTAAGATAGTAGCTAGGTAGTAATTAGAAGTACATTTCTCTTAATAAAATGCTTTTGGTTTCCCTGAGAGGAGGAGGCAAAAAGAATTAGCAAGTACTCAACACAAGGAACTTTTCTCAAATAGAATCTAGTCAGAAGTTACTCTGCAAATTGTACCAGGAATGATAGAGTTGGAGTAGTATTGATATCTAAACTAATTTGTTTGCTTAGAACCTCATCTAAGAAATGTAGCTATTGTTGAAATAGCTCCTACTCACTTCAGAGAAAAAAAATAAGTGTTTCATGAAGGTTTCTTTATTTTTTAATTTCAGTATGCATTGCCACTCCAGTTGGTGAATAACCAGACTATGACTCAGTGGATGGAGATCTTCCGTACCATCATTGACAGAAATGTACCTCCTGTAAGGTTTAGTATTGTCAAACCTCTTACACTTGTATGTTGTCAATTGAGGAGCAGTCAATGTAAAGGTTTTGTAAGTGTGGTCATTTTTCCTTTGTCAGTTTTTTGTTTTTTAAGATGTCATTTGTTTGAGGTTCTTAGAATAAATGTTCTTCTGACAGAAGTGCAGGAGAATTGTGTAAGTTGCCAAATTTTCATTCACTGAGATAGTGATAATATGAAAACTCCAGTCTATGATATTTTGGAAGCTTTCAATTTTTCTAGCCCTTTTCCTCAGAAAAAGCAAGAGATCGTTGAAAAGCCATTGTTCATCTGTTTCTCTCTTTATTTTATCAAACCTCCACATCTCTAGAAGAAGAGCGAAGCAAGTAATTAAATGTGTGAGCATGCATGCATGTACAGCAATAACTCTCTTTCCCTTGGTTTTGAAAATTTAACAACATTATTTTTAATAGCTTTTACATTGCATATGGTTTGGTATATGAATTTGGAGGAGTAGTGTTTTGCTTAATTTTTAAGCAAAAGTGGACACTGCTGTGCATTATTCTAGTCTGAGAGTTTCAGTTTTTTAAATGTGTGTCATTTTGAACATTCGAGTATGGACATTGGATGGGTATTTCACATACACATTTATATTAGCTAATTAAAATAGTGTAGAGTTCCTGAACTGTTAATATAGCCAAAATTTTAGTCAGTGCCATGAACTTGTATTAATATACTCAGTGAGGAGTGTTTAAAAAGTAATTTATCTTAACAATACACAAAACTAATTCAAAATTCTTGTGTTTGTTTATAGGAGACTTTGCAAATCGATGAAGATGATAGACCAGAGCTGGTGTGGTGGAAATGCAAGAAATGGGCATTACATATCGTAGCTCGTCTTTTTGAGCGGTAATGAACTGACAAGCTGATTGAAAATTAAATTAGGGTTACAAGTCTTTGACATTCCTTAGGTGCAGTTAGACAAGACAGTTGAGCTGGCTTAACAGCTCATAGTCACCAAAGAAATACTCTCACAGCTGTCCTCTGCCTTGCATTGGTGCAGCCAATGGCTTGAGCTCTTCGTGAGATGATTTGGCTCTCTAACCTGGCAAGAAACTAGCAAGGAAAAGTATTTTTTTTTTTTTTTTAAAATGTATTCATCTACAACTGCTTGTATTCTTGAATACTTGAATACAAAAGCAGAGAAAGATTTGAAAAGAAAATCAACAAGGTAAAAGTTACAGAGCTTATGACAACAGTACATCTGTATTTATTTGACTATAACATCGCACTGGATGAGGTTCTAAGAACAGAAAAGGGAAGTGAGACATCATGTAAGAAATAATGGCTTAGTAGAATATCTGCAGAAAGGATTTGTTGGGGATGGAAGGCTACTCAGAGTCATTTGTGTTATAAAAAACACTGTATTTTCGTGACACAGAAGGCTCTTTGTAACATAAGTAAGTATCTGTCTTCTCTTCATTTTAAAGGTATGGAAGTCCAGGAAATGTAACTAAAGAATACTTTGAGTTCTCAGAGTTTTTTCTAAAAACATATGCTGTGGGCATACAACAAGTAAGTACAGTTAATTTGTTTCTAAGTTTAGTCATTTTAACTGAATAAAGATCTTGTTTTTCAATAGTGTGCTCAGATCTTGAAGTTCATAAAGCAAAACTGAATGGAATCAGATTCATTTTTCATTACAGTTGTATAATCAATGAATATACAGATGCTATAATTATGAAATAAACAAGAGAGTTTGGCTAAGCAGATTACTATACGAAAAAGAGAATAGATAGAATGCTTATCCTTGTCCTGGGCTTGCTGTAAAACTCCAAAGGAAGGATCTCTAGAAGAGAACTCCAAAGGATCTAGAGATCCTTCCTTACTGGTAGTCAGCTCTTAAATGGGTCTAGGAGAGGTGGAGCCAGGCTCCACACCTTCCAGCAGCTGACCCCTTCCAGGGCTGACTGACTCATTGCTCACCTCAGGTGATCGATCAGAGGTTCTGGCTGTGATTCAGCAGTTCCAGTGCAATAGTGATTGAGAAATTCTTTAGAAATCTTAGTACCATACTTATATGAGGTATAACACACAAATGTTCAGCTATTTGGAGAAACTGTGCAGGAAGACTTTGAGAAAAGCAACTGTATATCAGTGTTATCAGCATGCATAAACAACAGAAAAAAGCAATGATTTCTCATAGAGGGATGTGTTATCAGGCCACTCCTTAGTAAGTGATAAGCTGCTGACAACTTAGGAACACTGGATTCTGTCCTGTTTTATGTCAGGAGGATGTAATCAAATTAGAAAGTGTGTGGAGAATAGCAATATTTTATACCTGGTTAGCATATTTTGTGAAAATAGAGCATATGTTCACAGTTGACAAGTAAACTTTTGTTGGGGAATGCTAATTATTTGTGTGTAACGTGGATTGTGGAGATGGTTCAGTTTTGATAAAGCGACACAGAAGAGATGCACTGCCTGTAAATGTTTTCCGTGCTTTTGTGCCAGCTTACCTGTGGTCCTCTGGGAATAGACTTCCAGCATCTCCCTAGTTTGAGGAAGTGACTGCAGCAATTGGGTGGCTGGAAGTCCATGGAGCGGTGGTTTGCAGGCTCAGATGTTTCTGGACCAGCTCTTTTTGTTTCCCATTCAGCTTGCTACATTCTGGATTACTAGGAGTAGCAGGTAGTTCCCAGGCTTTATGCTCAACTAAAGCTCTTGAGCATCCAGGCTTTTGGGTTATGTGTTCCAAAGAAACTCTTGATAAGTCAGAAGAGAGCAGTTTACTCTCGTAGTGGTGATTCTGGGCTCTTGATTTTCAAGTAACACCTGTTTGGATAATTTGTATTTGCAGGGATGTGGCTTCTCAGCAGACTGCTGGATGAAACATCCCTCACATGGCATCAGCAGGCTTCTCAGGGTTCAGACTTCCAGCGTCTTATTCAGGGTGCCAGGCTGCTGTCACTTCATTAGAATGGAATAGAACAGAAAGTTTGGTTGGAAGGCACCTACAGAGACCTAGTCCAACTGCCTGACAACTTCAGGGCCAATCAGAAGTTAGAGATGTTACTGAGGGCATTATCCAAAGGTTTTTTGAACACTAACAGGGCTCTTAGCAAACTTTCTGAGTATGTTTCCACCTCCATCTCCAAATCACTGATAAAAGTTTTAAACAGGATTGGCTCTAGACTTATGCCCTGGAGAACACCGCTAGTGACCCATTCAGAACAATTCTTTGAGCTCTGCTTTTGAGCCAGTTCATCACCTGGTGTAGTGTGGAGCTGTTTATCTCACAATTGGCCAATTTACCCGTAAGGATGATGTGAGGGATGGTATAAGAGGCCATACTAAAATCCAGAAAGATTAAATGCTCTGCCTTCCTTTTGTCCACCAAGCTGAGGACCTTATTGTAGAAGGAGATCAAATTACTAAGGCAGGATTCATGAACCCACATTGACCACGCCTAATAACCAAGTCACATTCAGACTATTTCAAAGTAACAGAATTATCTGCAAAAACAATTACTTTTCTCCATCCAGTTTGACAAAACAATTTATCCACTGGTGTATCAATTCTGTGTAAATACGTGAATGATAAGAACTGAAGAATAGCTGTGGGGAGACTACTAGGTATCAAATAAAAAGGAAGGAGAAACAGTCAAATATAAATTCTAATTTCTTTGCAACTATTATTTCCTGAGTAGAGAAAAAGGCTTCCACGGGCAGTGGTCATTAACAATACTTAAAGTTTATGTCTTTTAAAAGACCAGGATATGAAGCAGAGGAAGAGCAGTTTAACTTGAAAGATAAATGGTCTTGGATGATCTGCATATTTCTTTCACTTCTCACTCATAGATGCTGATTTGTCACGTTTCACGGCAGAGTTAGTGAGAATGCCATTGTGAATATTACATTACTAAGCCTTTGTTACATATTTTTCAGTTAACTGCTGACATTGTGTTAGAGTCTGTGTGAGATATTGCCCATCTTTGCTCAAGGAGTGTATTGTAAAAAAGAATAAGATCAGACTTAGTACCCCTAAGGGAAGGAGTTATGTTCAAAATAAGATTTACTATAGTGTTGTAAAGAATTATTAAGTAGAGTTTTTCTTCTGAAAACACAATTCAGTACTTTTGTTATGCTTTGTCCTTGATTTTTATTGTTGCTTGTCTGTGTGGCAGTTCTTTATGTTTACTAACACTCAGTAGTTCCTTTGCTATTAAATGTTGAATAGTGGCTTTGTACTGTAGGTTTTTCTTAGAAGAGCAAGCCTTTCTAATAAGCATTGTGTTACAGAGTTTGTGATAGCATACTATGTGACACTATCTGATACTTATAACAACCAACCAACTGAAGTTAGGATTTTTTTCATCTCCTGATTCACAGATGTAGATGTTAACCCAATTTCCTTTTTTAGTTTAGTATTTCTATTATTATCACTCTTCTTCCAAAGTCATTTGGCTTCTTTAGGGGATTGTCTGTTCAAAATGAACACAAACTCCATTAACAGATTTAGATACCAACTGGCTTGAAAATGTTGTTGTACCTTTTCAGAATCTGTTCCATATTTGTCTGAGGCCTGTGTAAACTGAGTCTATAAATTCTGATGCATGTTTTTTGTTTATAATTGCAAGTGATCACATGATGGATCTAATAGTAAAAGTAAATGTACTTAAATGCTTGCAAATTTAGGTTCTTAATGTTTAAGTGATTTCTAACTTTTGGATCAAAGACACTGCAGTGGTTACTGACACTAGAACTTTTGTAACTAATCAGTTTGTGCTGAAATTCACTGAAAAGGTGTCCTGCATGTCCATGTATGAGAGCTAATTTTCCATCTTCATTTAAGAACACCAGTTCTTTATTTCTTTAGGTTCTATTAAGAATCTTAGACCAATACAGACAAAAGGACTATGTTGCACCACGTGTTCTTCAGCAAACGTTAAACTACCTGAACCAAGGAGTCATTCACTCTGTAACGTGGAAGCAAATGAAGCCACACATACAAGTGAGTGCATAAAGCCCAGTCAGAAACAGTGCATGTCATCAGAATGATAAAAGAAGTAGTTTTCTGTAGTTTCATGAATCTTTCATGCAGCATCAACATTGGCAAAAAAAAACAAAAAAGCATTCCCACTCTGCAGTTCTTTTTTACAATATCATGACTAACTTTTATTACAGATATTGTCAACTCAATTAAGGATTCTGTTCCATTAATTCTTTATTTTGCTGAAGTCTGACACAAAGTTCTGGCTTTTATTAGTTGCTAGTGTAAAGAAATTACTATAGATTTGGAAATTATAATTGATTGCAGTGCAAAGACAGTCACCAAAGATATCATAAACTGTGAGGAACCGAACTGTTTTAAGGATATATTTTATAAGTAGATGTAAGAACAAGTGGAAAGTGATTTTCATGCCTCTTTTCTCCACGTTATAAGCTAGTTAATATAAGTTTGTTATTGCTATGAATGTTATGGAGAAGGATGTTGAAGCCTGTTTTCATGTTAAGTGTTGTATCTGTGAGAACCTTCTGCAGAATGCAATGTTCTGTTGCTTACAGATTAGATACTGAAGTATATTTTGTGTGTGGTGATAAATATTATAAAGTTAGATTATTTAATTACTGCTGTCTGTATCTGTTGCAAAAGGAAAAGAGAATCTGTACTGAAATTTGATTTTCTGTGTACTTACACTCATTTGATTCCTTTAATATTAGAGTATAACAGAAGAAGTGATATTCTCCCTAATGTGCTACAAAGACGAGGACGAAGAGCTGTGGCAAGAAGATCCGTATGAATATATCCGCATGAAATTTGGTAACAGTCCATAGTTAGAATTTACTTTTGGTTTTCATCACAATTGTATACCGTAGTCCCAAACATAGTGTGGCAACCATAATGTCTTTGTCTTTCTGAGTGTCTGGAAGAATAGGAAGAAGAGAATTTGTTTCGTAAATCTCACCAATCTGTAATTAAAAGGCAGATCGAATGAGTTTTGGCCATTTGGCTGCTACTCATAAACTAATTCTCTAAAAATTGTTTTCTACTACAGATGTGCTCAGTGTAACTAGTAGACTGACTTGCTTTCCTTATAATGCCAGTTTTAGAATCCTGAATTGGAAACATGACAGCTGTCTGCAAGCTCTTGCAGCTCACACTTTGACCAGAAGAGGCCTGACTTGCTCTTTCTCTATTGAAAATTGTTCTTGCTTTTGGTATACTTTGCCAACTGTTATTACTAAGTTGTAAAACAATTATATATATATATTTTTTTCAAAAGTCACACTGCAAAAATCTTAGGAACTACACATTGGACTAATTTATAGTAATTAGTCATGTTAAAAAACTCATATCACTGAAAAAGAGAAGGGTACTTTAAAAATATAGCAAATTTATCTGGAAAATTCCAGTATGCCAGGCACCACAGAGACATGTAGCATTTGGAAATTGTTAATTAATTGCATTTTGGTTAGCATATGAAAAAACAGAGTGTAAAAAGTCCTAGTATACTTAAAAACCAAACAGACAACCCTCTAACCTTGGAAAGTTATAGAAAACAATTAATCATCATAGTGTTAATGACAGGGATACAAATGCGTAGTTGATTTTTTGGTATCTAAATTCTGTTATTTTTGTGTAAGCAGTGAGCCCTAATTTTATCTGTAGCTGAGAGTTAAATACAGATTTGAACTGTATTATGGAAGCAGAAATTACACTTACTTGAAATTTAGTGAAAAGTATTTAGATTTGCAACAGAAATGGTAGTATTTCTGAATCTTGATTTATCTTCAAGATCTCAGGAAAAGTTAATGTGTAATTTTAAATACATTTTAAGGTTATTTTTCTAGATCCTTTTATTTAATGCAATCTATGTAGGGATGTTTGGATTAGAACATGTTTGGCAGCACAGATTGTTTTTCAATATATAAATTATATTTTTAGTACGATTAAAAGAGGTTTACTTGTAATGAAAGAAGCTGAAAAGCTTCATCTTTCAGCAAATTTAAATGACACCAGATCCGAGGATTTTTTTACATTCAAAGAGCTTCCCATGAGGTTTCAATAAAATCAAGCCAAAATTGTGTACATATGTTATACAGATGGCACTGGAATGCATTGGTGTTCTTATAGTGGTTTTAATTTAAAAAAAAAAAAGAAAGAAAGCAACAACCAGCAAATATAAAACAATTTTTCATCCATTAAATACATGATCTCAAAAGAACTAACGAATAAATAATTCAGTCTTGATAAAGGGAGTGATGAGTGGTCAGTAGATTAGGAAGTCAAGAAATAAATGCTCTTGTGGGTAACGTGAGCTTGAGTCTGACTCTTCAAATGTTAATTGAAGACAGTCGTGTCCAACATACTTAAGTTGGTTTATCAGCATTTTATGATGTTATAATCAGAAAGTGATTTTTTTCATTTATCTTTAATGTTAGATGTATTTGAGGATTATGCATCCACAACAACAGCAGCACAGAATCTCCTTTATACAGCAGCAAAGAAGAGAAAAGAGGTATGGAATTATTTTTTTTTTTTAATTTTTGCTTGAGCTTTTTTTAAAAATGTTATTTTCCCTTACATTTGAAGATGCTATAGGAAGCATCTCAAAAAAATTTACTTGCTAATATGTGGCCAAACTCATTCCTGGCTGAATGCCATCAATTTGGGGAGAATTAAAATATGTAAGTATAAATAAATAAGTGGTTTCCTCTTACAGCTCTGAAATTAACATGCCTGATAAAACAAATTGGAATTGATGTAGTAATGGCTTCCCATGTTTATGATCAGGCTCTGCCATGGCTGTTCAGAGATTCTCAATGTGTAGCAGCAGCACAAGTGAATCTAATCCTTGTTAATTTTCACTGATGCAATTTAAAGTCCTGTTGACAACAATGAAATTAGGAAGAATGAAATGAATTTCATGGAGCTAATCTTTAAATGAGAGCATAACTTTTCTATAGATCCTTTTATATTTACAGTGATATATGCTAAAAAAAATTATTCAGCCTAGCCCTGCAAAGCATATTGTTCAGCCTACTGACTTCTCTGGCAACCATTTTCACATGCCATAAACATGGAGCTCGATTTCTTTATGAATTTTCAGAAAAGACCATAGTCTTTGTATCAGGTCAAATAGCCTGTGACCTTTCTTTGTTGTTAAAGCAATCTGTGTCTGCTGACCTTCTCAATTTCATAATTTGTACTCAAATTGTCAAAACGTCGTCATTTCTGAAAAGCAGATAATGTTGGTGGAAACCACAGTAAGCAATTTATTTTGCCAAGAAACCTTTCCAAGTCTAGCTGACTTTACAAGTTATTGCCAAGATTGATAGATTAAAATAAATCTGAGGTTTTAGTCAAAGCTGCTCTTGAATATGTTTATGTTCATACATACATGTACATGCACACATGCCTTTATATATGTAGTGGGCTAACCAGATGGGAAGTTAAGGGGGGAAAAAAAATCTGTGAAGTGCTGTTTGAACCTCTTGTCTTTTCCTCACCTTTCGTGGTTTGCCTCAGAACAACAAAAATACTGTAATCACTGTCACTAATACAAAATTTCAGGGAGATGAATTCAATTTTGTAAAGCTTGGGTGAAAAGTTGTAAAAGGAACCTTTTAAATCTGGGAAGATGGTACATATAGTACTTCCCAATTGCTTTGATTACAATGAGATTTCTACATACAAAAGTCATATCATTTTTTAAACTTAATGTCATGAAAATAATTTGATTTAGATACCTCACTGACAAAAGGAGATTCTGTGCTTTTTGTCGTACACAGGTATTGCCAAAAATGATGGCATATTGCTACCAGATTCTGACAGAACCAAACATTGATCCAAGGAAGAAAGATGGAGCTTTGCATGTTATAGGATCCTTAGCAGATATTTTACTGAAAGTAAGTGGGTAAATAAGTAAAATATGTTTATGTTTGTAATTCTTACTATCAATTCCATTTTTCCAATAAAATATATTAGCTTATTAAAGTCTGGCTAGCCCACAACTGTATTTTTGGAATCAGTAGAAAGACTGCAACGTGCAATAAGATTCTGAGGGTTTGTTCCTTTACAAATATTTATGTTCTTTGCTGGTTTTATGTATTCCCATTTTATATGCTGATTTTTGTTCTCAAGTTTCTCCAAAGCTCTCTTTGTTTCTTACTGAACCATTCCTTGGTCTTCTCATGCTTTACTAGTAAAATGGAAGGGTGTTAAGAAAAACAAACATGCATTCCATCAATAACGTTGCTTATTATTCTTTAGAAACCCCTCCCAACAGCTTGCACTATTGTGGGCTCCTCCTGGTTCCAGAAAAATGTTTGCTTAGCATGTTGTAGAAATGTTTTGTCTAGCTTTACAGCCTTTGTACCCTAGGATGCGTGACTTTAAGATGTATTTCACCATCTAGCTGGGAGTTTTCCAAATCAGTGGAAAGTGGAAGTAAGAATTTCTATCCTTCTTCATTTTTTATACACAGTATCTTCACAATTTCAGTTTTTCTTTGACATTTGAATACACATTTGACCTGCCCTATTGCTGGCCAGTGTAATAGTTGTTAGAATTTCTCTTGTGTTTCTGTAGGTTGTGGAGTCCAAGTACACCCTCTTTCCACCTCAAAAGTAACTGCCAAAAAGTTATCACTTTCAGAATGAGAATGGAGGCTCGAGGCTTCTTTTTAAATTATGTAAAAATTTATTTTATGTGAGTTATCTCTCTGTGCAGTAGGTTTCTTCATACAAAGCCTTGCAAGGCTAAAGGCTGAGCACTGCACTTGGGTCATAACAACCCCAACGCAGTGGTACAGTGCTAAGGGAGAAGTGGCTGGAAGGGTGCCCAGGAAAAAAGAGGGATGCTGGTTGGCAACTAGCTGAATGTGAGCTGGCCATGTGCCCAGGTGGCCAAGGAGGCCAATGGTATCCTGGTCTGCAGCAGAAATAGTGGGGCCAACAGTGTGAGGAAAGTGATTATTCCTCTGTATTTGGTGCTGGTGAGACTGCAGCTCGAATACTGAGTTCAGTTCTGTTCTCCTTACTACAAGAAAGGTACTGAGTTGCAGGAACGTGTTCAGAGAAGAGCAGTGAAGCTGGTGAAGGGACTAGAAAACAAGAGTTACGAGGGGTGACTGAGAGAACTGGCATCATTTAGAAGAGGCTGAGGAGGGAGACCCACCTGAAAGGAGATTGTAGCAAGATGAGGATCAGTCTTTTTTCTCAGGTAACTAGCGAAAGGACATGGAAATGGCCTCAAGTCCACCAGGGGATGCTTAAGTTGAATACCAGGAAGAATTTCTTCATAGAAAGGATGGTGAGGCATTGGAAGAGGCTGTCCAGGGAGGTATTTCAAAGACATGTGTACGTGACACTTAGAGATATGGTTTAGTAGTGGACTTGGTAGTGTTAGGTGGCTGGTAGGCTTTCATGATCTTAGTGGTATCTTCCAACCTAAATGATTCTCTGATTCATGTTACAAGAAACAGTTCACCAACATACTCTCTCTGTATATTTTTTAACCAGTGTACCAATACATGATCTGAAACTGAAATCCTGAAACATCAGTAACTTTTGGAATTTTTTTTTAGATATATTGGATTACAAGTGCCATCGTTCATGTTGGAGTATAACAAAGAATAGAATATTTATGTTTGGGGAGCCTTTCATGCTGAATGGAGTTTCATTTACCTTTGTCCTGAGAAAAAAGAAATTTATTCCACTATACTGCTACTATTTGAAATTTTCTGTCTTGAAACTTAAGGTTGTATTTTATAAAAGAGTAGTAATCCCCAAAGTAGCAGTCTTCTCTCTACTCTGAATTTTTGGTTTGGGATTTGGCAGATGAAAAAATTCCATGAGCTGTTTCTATATAAAATGCTTACTTGCAAATGTCTTCTGCCTGGAGAGTCAACTGAGACATTGATCATAAGTTGCTCGAAGACACAATGACTCTGGCTTATCTACCCAGTTCTCCACATACTCTCCATTTATGTGCATGCAAACCTCTGATGTGTACAAAAGGAAAAATTATTTTCCCTTCTTTGTATTTTTTTTTCCTCTTCCCAGTTCTTCATCTGCCTCTCTTAAGGTTTGGGAATCTGCATGGGGAAAAATTGATGTATGAATTAGTGAAGTAGAAGTATGATCACTTAGGATACATTTAGTATTGCATATACTCTTTCACCTCTTCTTAGCCACTTATTTGTTCCTTTACATGGTGACACAGTCTCTGGTATTATTATTATTATTATTATTTTTCTCATATATTGTGTCAGTAGATGCTAGGAAAGTCCCCAGTCTCCTGGCATTCTGTGAATATCTTAGAATTTGCCAAATTCAGAATATTGAAAAATGTTTTCAACTGCTTATCCATATCCAGACAAATTTCTATCATAAACAAATTCTTTTTCCATCAATAACAATATTGAAAGCAATATTTATGAATATATAAAAATATGTGAGCTGTTGTGATATGTAAAATAATTAGCTGTAATGCTTATAATAATGGCAGGTCATTTGAATCTCAGATCTGTTTCATACTAAATTTTGATTTATCGTAAGCTACGTATACACTCTGTTCTAGGAAGACTCAAAGCACTAGGTTCTTCATTCTAATTAATTTTTAAGAATAAAAATGAGCTGGAAACAGTGCTGTAGAGAAAATGAAAATTCCTGGTATAGTATTGTAAAAAGTAATGTGGAGTTGATTATTGTATGTACAGATTTTTTACTTACCTGGTTTTGAACGTGAGGTTTGCTCAGTTCAAGTTACAAGATGCATACCTCTTCATATGTATTTCACAGACAAATCATTGTATTTTTCAAGATATCAAGATATTTAAAATGGTTTTCTGACTTAGGTTGAGTATATGAAATGAGTGTTCTCCAAAATTTATTTTTCTTTTCACCAACAGAAGAGTGTATTCAAGGATCAAATGGAGCTGATGCTACAGAATCATGTATTTCCATTGTTCATGTCTAACCTGGGGTACCTCAGAGCTAGAGTAAGTTCACCAATTATGTCAATTTTAGTATTTGCTGTGTTTCTTTCCTTTGAGTTTAACTTCATTCTGAGTGTCAATGAAAGAAGTAAAGCAAATATGTTGTAAAAATTCAAATAGCTATCTTGTATGGTAATTTTTCAACATTTTGACTTAGAAATTGAACAGTCAGTTAATTGAATTGTAGGAAGGTCTCTTACATTGTTGCTTACATCCTAAGTCAAACTGAAGAATTTGAGCAGTAATTGTGACTGTTTTGTGATTATTTTTCATTAATATCTCAATAACTACAGCTGTTAGACAGCTGTGAAGAATAAGTAGAATTTTCACAGAGTTTTGGGTGCAGCTTGAACAAAATCCATAAGTGCCCGTGAGTCATAAACAAATGGTTAATTTTCTTTTGTTTATTTTCTGATATTTTTCTTCAGAAGGACCAGAACTGTAAATGCTAATTTTGTGCCCAATGGATTTATTGGATTTGGGGGAAGGAAAATAAAGAACTAACTGACTGTAAAAACAGTTATGCATTACCGTATGAATACATTGCAATCAAGAGAAAAGTAGTCCCTAACTTGCCTTTGCTTTTTTTCATGCAGTCCTGTTGGGTACTTCATTCATTCAGTGCTTTGAATTTTCACAATGAGCTAAACTTGAGGAATGCAGTAGAGCTAGCAAAGAAGAGCCTGATTGATGATAAAGAAATGCCTGTCAAGGTAGAAGCTGCCATAGCTCTGCAGATGTTAATAAGCCACCAGGAGCAAGGTAGGCTGCAGTGATTCATCAATTGTATGTACTGATTTATTTATCTATTTATTTTTGTAGACGACGATAAGATTTGTGCAGATTTATCTAAACATTTTTACCATTTAAAAACATAGATTTTGGAACATTTCATCACATTCTGACAGCTTCACTTATTCATTAGCTACTGTATACAGCCCAGAATTCTAATGTCAAGTTTTTATGTTGGGTTTCTGCATCAAAATCGTTATCAGAGTATTTCACTTGATTAAGTAAATAGTATCCATCTTTCATTTTCTTTAACAAAGTGAAATAGTGTATATTTAAGAATGAGTGCTTTCTGTGTGTAAGGGCATGTATTCCTCTGAAACAATGGTTTTTTTTTGTAGATGGCTGTAGTATGTGCAGTCTATTTACTCTGTTAGTCTGCTGGTTATGTGCTGTATCAGTGCTTTGGGTAGGGCTCTTTGTTTTTGTTTGTGTATGTGTGAATTTTAATCTTTTAAAAATTACTTCATTGGAGAACAGTCAGTTACCTAGCAGTTTTGAGTATATTTGTGTTTAAGGATAACTGATTTCATTTAAACTTTTTTTTTTTTTTTTAAGCTAAGGAATACGTGAAGCCATATGTAAGACCAGTTATGCAAGAGCTCTTGCACATTGTTAGAGAGACAGAAAATGATGATCTTACAAATGTAATCCAGAAGATGATCTGTGAGTACAGTCAGGAAGTAGCTACCATCGCTGTTGACATGACACAACACCTGGTAAGAGACAATACTAAAGTTACTGTCCAATCACAGGCATATGCCTGATTTGGTAAACTTCTTAATAATTTGGTTTGAAGTGCACACTGTTTAAAATAATCCCTGTGAAGGTCCACCTATGGTACTCACCATAGTTTGTATTTCAGTCTGAAGCATCTTTAAAACCTTTTCAGAGGCTTTCAGAGATGCTGAATTTTGCCCTTGGTTTTAATGAGTCAAGTTCTGACTATTTAACATTTAAAAGGTTTTAAAATACCCAGACTTCTCAAAAAAAATTCATTTTCTATATTCATTTTTCAAAACCTAGAAGCGTATTTTTCAAAACTGACAGCTCTTACAGATAGGGCACTGCTGGTTTTGCCTTAGCTATCTTGTTTCTACATGAAAAATGAAGAATGTGAGTTGTCTTTTGAATGTCAAATTGGTTGTTTTTCTTTCATAGGCTGAAATATTTGGTAAAGTACTTCAGAGTGAGGAATATGAGGAAGTGGAGGACAAAACAGTTATGGCCATGGGTATCTTGCACACTATTGACACTATCCTAACAGTTGTGGAAGATCACAAGGAGGTGAGATTTCCTTTTCTACGTCTAGTGTTCCTTCATGCCTTTCAATTCATGGTAACAAGCATTTTTGTGTATGTGCTGCCTCACTTGATGCACATGAATGAACGTTTACTATAGCAGGATGGTGAATTAGTACCAAGTGACCTCTGAGAAATTTGAATTTAAAGCCCAGTTTATTTCTGTTTTCTTAATTTTTCAGCTTTGCTCTCAACCTTACAGGGAATTTATATCCTGAGTGTAATTCTTCAGCCCTTATTCTGGTAAATACTTCTTTGGATAGTTATTACAGAGTTAAATGGTCATTAGGTTGTAATATTTTGCATGTGGGTAACTTTTTGATAATGGTGACTTGTTTTGTTATTCACCTAGCAGTTTCTTGGATAGGATTTCTAGGAATTGGTCTTTTTGGTGGTACAAGTCTACATTTCACATATTCAGAGAAAAAAGGGATTGTTTCTACTTGTAGCTGGCTGAGGTAGGAAGGACTTCAGTGACTGGCAAGAGAGACAAAGTCTGTCAGTATCTGAGCCCAACAGGCAAAAAGCACAAAAGCGCTTTGTCCTGGTTTGTTCTGCTTCTTTCGATTTACAATGAGAAAGTTTTATTGCCAATGTGAAATCTGACTATGAAGCTTAAAATTTAAAAAATTCATTCATATTTTTTGTGTGACCATCGTGTTCCTTTGGATTTGAACACGTGTCTCATTCCTTTACAAGAACCCCTTGCATCTTTTGAAAGCTAGAATGAAATCTGGTAGCTAAACTGAACATCAAGAGAGGTAATCTGTAATGGATCTTCAGATTTTAGCCTAGGAAAAGCTTTGGGGTTAGAGTATTTATGGTATCAGCTTAGCAGCTTGTTTTTCTGCTATATGAAGAGCAAACTAAAATACTGTGAAGAGTGCTCCCCTCAGGATCTTAAATTATTTTAGAAGCGATGTAAATGATATGCAAGTGATAAATGAGGCTGAAAACTCCTTAGAAATTCCTTTCCCTTTTATCATTAACTATGCAGAGAGCTTAGAGGATGATCAGCTCTAAGCCATGTGTCTGAATCAGTCGCCTGAAGGTATGTGGATGAATCTGTGATCACATGCTTAAGCCCTTTGCTGGGAGGAAATGCAGGAAGCCTGACATTCTGCAAGATTTCATGTTTAATGAATGACTAGTGGCAATACCACGAGATGCCTATACTGGAGGTTTTACTTAGGCTTGCAGTGTGGCCATATCATTCTCCTAATTTTATTTCATTCATAAAAGTAGTCTCTCTCTCCAACACGAGAAGGCTGAATAAGTTATCCTCTCAGTTTAAAACTGCCCACTCCAGCAGATAGCTGCATAATTATAATATTATATAAATATTATAAAATAATGTTCTCCCAAATTCTACATGTTTCCCTTTCATCGAGCCTGGCCTTCTGGGAAGCTCCCCAAAGATCTTAAGCAAAAACATCACTTCCTTTCTTTTTTTCAACTCATTCTTCGAAGAAAGAATTTGGACTGAGGCCTTATTACTTCAGTCTGAGTACAGTGTTTGCCTCTTTACATTATATCCAGAAAAGAACAGCAGGCACAGTTTTTAACAGGATCTGCAGAATAACCTTTAAGTTAAAATTCTTACAATAAAGAAAAATGCCATGACAAGCTTTAAAGTAATACTGCTTATTGAAAAATTGAGTACTAACACCAGTGAGGCTTTACTTCATAATCATGTGATCATTATTAAATTATGATCTTTCTAGATTTTTAAATAAAATCCTTTTTTTTTTTTTTAATTTCAGATAACTCAACAGCTGGAGAGCATTTGTTTGCAGATCATCGGCCTTGTTTTGCAGAAGCATGTTATAGGTATTTTTTGGAGCTAATTTTTAGAAAAAGATTATAGATTTTTACATGGAAAAAAATCTTTGATTATTACAAACAGTACTGTCATCCTGGACAGAACGTCATCTTTGTTTATTTGCTTCTTTAACACACAAAACCAGAAGAGGCAGTTCTCATTATAGTTCCTAGCTAACTGTGTTAAAAGACAAAGTCTACAATTACTATTTTATGAGGGGGGAAAAAAAAAAAAAGATTAAGAAAGTAAAAATACTTTGCAGTAAGTCAAAGCAATGTCGTTGATGCATTGCTAATACATTTTCCCAGTGTGTATTTATAATGAGAAGCAATGCTTCTTGTTGTAGCTACAGCCAACATAATGCTTGTCTAAAAGAGTCTTTTCCAATTTATATTATTTTTTTCCATATTGACATAGTTACTAATTACTGACTTCCAATAGTTACATGACGCTTTGGGTTTTGAGATATTTACAAGAGAGACTCTTTTTTCACAGGTTGTTGTTTACAAAATGTTTCTCCTTTCCAGAGTTTTATGAAGAAATTCTTTCCTTGGCATACAGCTTGACATGCCAGATGATTTCACCTCAAATGTGGCAGCTTTTAGGTGTTCTCTATGAGGTTTTCCAGCAGGATTGCTTTGAATACTTTGCAGGTATTTCTACTTCCATTCTGTTGATGTTTCAACTGTTTGGGAATTCATCTCCAGAACCTGCCTTACAAAGGTTGCTTCCATGTTGTATTTTGGTGTAAAGTGATCGGGTGCTTGAGTTGTGCCCTGACCATCTGTGTACTGTAGGAGTATAACGGGAGCATATCTAGCTTGAGAAGTGTGTTCAAATCTGTCAGTGTGATCGGTTATAAAAGAAAGCTGAAATATAGTTAAAGGGAAACTACAAATTCATAAATTAAAATGTAGTTCTATTCTGTTTCTTCTCCTAAGAATGCCTTCTGCATTGTGCACTTTACAAAGAATTCTGCTAGAGTAGACTTCAGCAATATTTGAATTTCGAACCATGTCCAGGAATCTGGGTTAATGAATCTCATTATAGGATTGCAGCTTCATTGGTTAGCAGTTTTATTGATTAGTCTGTAATTTCTTTTTTTTTTGCTCTCCTTCCTCTGCAGATATGATGCCTCTCTTGCATAATTATGTGACCATTGACACTGATACTTTACTGTCTAATCCAAAGCATTTAGAAATCATTTATGCTATGTGTAAAAAGGTAAGGCTTCTCATTCTTACTGTTGTGCTAATCACTGGTACTTAATTATCAGATTAAACGTGATCTGAACATGCCAGGTAGTGGCCAGTCATTTCAGAGTGAAATGAAGTTTGGTCTTGTCTCAGTTCTGAGTAGCCATAGCAGCTTCAAACTTCTAAATGAAACACTTTGAAAAAAAATACCAAGAAACAACCAATGTGCACAAAAATGTTTGGGAGAAAGCTGCTGTGCTGTTGTTTGTGTTGGCACTCTTCTATGAACAGCTATTTTGGTAAGCAGAGGAATTAATGAAGTCTGATTTCCTTTGGTTGTGTATTTTGTGATTGGATTCTTTTGTTGTCAGCTAGGGGATGAACTCATTTGAAGTTCTTTATACATTTTCCTTTTTCCCTTTTATACCCTTTCTGTTCTGTGTAATAAAGAAGGAGATCACACTGCAGATTTTTTCTCATTTGGGGCATTATAAAGTCTTAGAAGCATAGATAGGTGCTTATAAGCATCTATCCACTTGTTTATTTTTAAGAGATTCATGGGGATTTAACGTGATTGAGAATTCTGCTGCCCTGTCAGGTTTGACACTGTCCATAGGGTTTAAACATACTGCATGAAAAAAGTTTCATGCATATGCACATGTACAGAGAGAGATTATACACATCTTGCTTTTTAATCTGAAATTAGCCTAGAGATAAGTCCTCACTTTACCAGGCTGTTTATCTGCCACTGCCTGTTAGGACTGAAGTCACAAAGAAATAGAGCATGGTGAACATCAATGATTCTTATAAATAATAATTCCTTAGAAAGGGAAAAAGCAATAAAGGACATATAAATACTACTAACAGGGCTAAGAAGGAACAACAGTTTCTTCTGAATTTTAGCCATTAGCCACCTATCCTCATTTATGTCCTGTAGAGATGAGATTTGTCATTCTTAATTTGTTGTAAAATACAGCATGAATATACATATATGCCATTTAGAGGTTTGATTTATGCATGTACGAAAGCACTGGCATTCATAGTTGACAGTGATTAATACTGATAAATTAAATTGCCATTTTAATTGCTAGGTATTGACAGGAGATGCTGGAGAAGATGCAGAGTGCCATGCAGCCAAGCTCCTAGAAGTAATTGTTCTTCAGTGCAAAGGACGGGGTATTGACCAGGTGATACACGTTTAACAGATTCTCTCTTTTGCAGATTTCCAGTGCTATGTGTATAATTCCTGTGAAAAGCAATTGGAATCAGAGAATTTTAGGGAGATGTAATACGTAGGAATGGGGAGAAATACAGAAAAGTGTAAATAAGCTCGTGAGAGTTTGTACATAGCGTTCTTGGTGCTGAAGATACTTAAGCACCATGACCAGAGTATGATTGTAAACTGAGTAGTTAAGGTATAGTATGATGTGCACAATTGCCTTCTTTTTTTTATTTTTAAATGGAATCTGAAAGGGATCAAGTGAATTGTATGCATTTACACTGAAGTAAGAGTGTGGTGGAAGACTGAACTGAGCACCACAACTCTGAATTAAAACTGATGTAATCTGAACTGAAACTCACAAACTGAAACATTCATAATGCTTCTTTAACTATCATACAGCGTAAACCTACATATTGAAATATATGTAGGTTTTTATTTCATTGTGTAGAGCTACGTGCACACTCTCTTTTTCAACCCTCACTTGTTCCAAACTTTTGTAAGAAATCTAACATCACATTGCATTTATTAAGAAACACTTTTTTTTTCTTGCAGATTTAGGTCATTTCAGTTTCTAAAACCTGCTAATTTTTAAATTGTTGGATATTTCTGTCCTCAATTTCTTTTCATAACCTTTTATTCACACTAAAATTCTGCCAAATGACTCCAAATATTCTCCTCTGTGCCAAAAATAACGTTGGCAATTTTTAACTCATAGAACGGTTGTTTTTGAGAAGATCTGTAAGCATATAATCAGAGGCTTAAAATGCTTTTGTATTAGGAAACGAATCTTGTGCATTCGTAGGATATACCCAGACTTCAGTTAGCCCTGGAGGTCAGTTCAGATAAATGTGTTTAAAACTTTTTAATAATCTGACAACATGTGTAATACTTGATCTTTTTTCCCTGTTTCTTTATATTCCCAGTGCATTCCACTCTTTGTGGAGGCTGTTCTGGAGCGGTTGACAAGAGGAGTTAAAACAAGCGAGCTTCGTACCATGTGTCTTCAGGTTGCCATAGCTGCACTCTATTACAATCCTGACCTACTTTTGCACACCTTAGAGAACATCAGATTTCCACACAACCCTGAGCCCATCACTGCACAGTTCATAAACCAGTGGATGAATGACACAGACTGTTTTCTCGGGCAAGTATTGTCTGTTTGTATTTTAAAAGTCCTTGATTCTGACTTGTTCTCTTCTCGTCCTTGGTCACATAGATGCAAGAGATCTCATTCCGTGTCTGTTCTAAATGACATTTATCCACACCAGGTCTAGTTACTATGATACTAATATAGGGGTCCTATGCATATTTATTTTTTCTTGGTCTTTTGAGTTATATGAGTGTATTGAATTTTCTGTATTGAATTGCAATAATACAAGAGTACAATACAAATTCTATTTCATTCTTTGTTTCTTGAGTATAAACTATCAGACTTGGTATTAACAAAAATTCGGACTACAAATTAGGAAAAAAAATCTTTAATGTGAAAGTGAAACACTGGAACAGGCTTCTTAATGAAGTGATTGATGCCTTATGCCTGCCAATGTTCAAGAAACATTGGACAGTGCCCTCCTTAGTATGCTGTAGCAATTGGTTTGCCATGAAGTGGTTGAGAGGTTGGACTGGATGATCTTTGAAGGTCTGTTCCTCTTCCCCTCTATGTTCAAGTGCAAAACAGGTAAATGTGGGGAGAAAAAAAAAAGCATATTCTTTGTTATAACAGAAGTAGTGTATATTATCACAAACATTCAGACCTTTTCTGTTGCTATACATAAGAATTGTCTACAGCACATCCTATATGTTAACATAAATACACACTTCATCGTTTAGACATTTAGAGGGGTTACTTGTGGTGATGACAAAGTAGACATAAAGTACCCAGTCCTTCATTTCTTTTGGAGCACCAGTGGCTGAAAAATGACATCTTTAAGTCTGTCTCTCCTGCATCTTTTGATAATATTACCATTAATTTTTAAATTACTTTTGAGGCTGCTGACTTTAGAAAAGTACGAGACTTTTAGTATCAGGATTTCCATGTACTCATTTTTTATGGCTGAAGAAAATTCCTTGATATTCAGCTCCTTATGTTGTCATTTTTTCTTGTTTTGTACCAAATGCTGAAAGCACACAGAGGCAGTATGAAAGCAGATATTCCCTATAGGTGGTAAACTTGTCATTCCGTTTTAAAAGAAATAAAAATGAAAGGGATTTATAGCCTTAAACAGTTCATCCAGTGAGAAGCCAGTGAGATCCAGAAGAGAAAAATACTGTTGAGCTGAATACTTTCCAACTTCAAGTACTTCTGTATGTTACAGCTTAACTTTCAGTTCTTTTGTGTTGCTTTTCAAAAAGCATTAGCTTCTGCAACTACTGTTCAACTAGATTCTTTTTCAGAGCTGAGACAAAAGTTGACAAAGCCTATAAAATGAAACACAAGAGATTATCATGCTAGATTCTGCTCTATGAACTTGAATGGCAGCTGAAGATCAAAATGTATCTTTTTGATCCATTGCTACCAGCAGTGAAATAAATATCTGTAATGTTGCTTAAATCTAAAAATTGCTTTTCCTTCAGTGCTGCCTCCTCAGTAGGTGGCTTCCAGGCATAGGGTTTTTGCTATAGTACTGCTTGTCAGGCACTATGATGTGATACAAGTGACTCCTCCCTTTCTCCCAGAAGGACAGGACTGCTTCCAGAAGACCATTTGATTTTAATAAGGGTTATGAGGGTCATCATCTGAAGAGGCTTAACTGAACAGGAATAGGTAGTTGCAAAAAAATCTGGCTTCCTTGCTACCCTTCCTTGGGCCTTATTTTCATCGGAGAAGACACTAATGGGCACCATCTCTTGTACAGTTCTTCCTTCCAGCTGTCGTTCAGTGTTGTTTCAGTTTAGAGTTGGGTTGCTTTCCAGCAAGAAGCAGTTTTAGGCTTAAATTCAAGTCAGTTGCTGTGATCACAGATTGTGGAGAAACAGGAGAAGAACAAAGTAGATCCACCTCCAGATGTGAATCTCACTGCTATTTCTTCATCAGCCCTGCAGACAGTCTGTGATTTACTGGTTGGTAACAGTGTCTCTTTGTGACACTCACACCACATGACTCTCATGTCCCTTTGCTAAGTAGGATCTATGGGCACTAAATTCCTAGTGTTCTCATGCTGGAGCCAGTGGTGTTTGCCAAAGTATGCAGTATTTCTTCAGCAGTACTTCTGAACTCCTGGAATGGAATCCATGGGAATAATACATCTTGCTGTGGGGAAAAGCAGTTAGGGTATGATAAGTAACTACTCTCCCATGTTATTAAAAATGTGGAAACTATTTAAAACTGTTTAGAAATTTGAAATGTTAAAAATAATCAAGGCAAGGAGATCTCAGAACTCATTGCAAGACTGCATAAATCTGTATGTCATTGTGGATATTACACATCTGTGAATGTGTGCCCACATACCCTAGTATACTGTGTTTATTTGTATCTGAATATGTTTTCTGTTGAATACTCATTCAAATTGATGAAGGGCAGGGGACTGAAAAAACATTTATCGAAATATGTTCCTTGCTGCTTTACACCTTTTCCCTGACAGCCTGAAATTTGGGTGAGATTTCTGCATTTCTTACGCTTATTCTTACACTAAAAATTCTTCTGTGGCAACTGGAGTGAAAGAAAAATGTAACTTGTTTTAAAAAACGAATAGATATTTTTATTTATCTATTTATCTATTTAGTTAGTTAGTTAGACTAGGAGGATTTATTTGACAGGAGTTAAAATTGTTAGAGATACTGGTGTATAACATCCTAATCTTCTGTAGGTCAAAGAAAGATGGTTCCAACTTTGCAACTGGCTAATTACTGGCAGTTTGTCCAGGAAACAGATTAATGTAATGGAAAGCAAGTTGATCCTCACATAAAAAGAGCACAACAAACCAGTAAGGGAAAGGTAGGCTTAGTGATTTCCCTCTGAAGCCCCTTCAGTTTAAACTACAAAAGATCTTTTTTTTTTAATCTTGTACTGGAGGAAGTGTATTAGCTACAAAAGAAAGCCCACAGAACCAGACCTGCTCAGGAGTTGTGCATTGCACTGCAATGTGTGACTCCAAGGACATATTTTTAGCATGCCAGGCTTGCTATGTCTATGAGGCAGCAGAGTGCATGATTGCTATGGAGGACTACTCAGTCAGTAAGTGCACATCTCGAAGGACAAAGTAAGGAGAATTGTATCCAGACAGCTTTGTGCAGACAAAAGGATACTGAAACCATTCTTTGCCAGTACAAAATTATGTAAATGACATAAAATTCTGCTTCACTTGTTCAGGTCCTGTTGATGTTTGATACAGCTGTGACATTGGAGTGCTGAACTTCAGAATCGTCCTGCTGTTTCTCTGTGCTGACACATGGATGAAATGAGTTTCCTTCTGGCTTAGGTTCACTAAGGTGGCTCAGTGCCTGGATGTCCTGCTGAGCCTTCTAATAACGTGCTCATTTTAAAGGCACGTGCTCATTCTAAAGGCATGTGCTCATTCTTACAACTTCTCTGATTAGATGCTTGAAAATGGAGCATGACAAATACAGTGCACTTTCTGGCTATTTGGGCTACTTCCTAATAATGATTCCCTTTTAAATAACAGTGTGTGAGTCTTCCACTTGCATTAGCTGTCCAGAAGAGATAATTTAATATGAAGCTAAGCCACAATTTACTATAATTTTTAAATTATTTTTCCTGTTGTGTTTTACAATTTGCGTTATATAACAGTCGTTTTCTCAGATGTATTCGAAAAGGTAATTCCATGTGTCATTAACAACTCTGTTGCACATACACACAAAAGAAGTCTTACTGCTTCCCCATGTCAGGATGCAGTTTAGAAGTCTTTCACGTGCATTACAGAGCTTGGATCAAACTTGCATGAAGGTGCTGGCAGAGAGAGAGTGTAGAGAAACATCTTTCCTTTTGTACTTGCAGTAAGAACAGCTCTTCCCCAGAGTTCATAGGTGGCAACATCTTTAGATAGAATTTTAGTCTTTGTGACGTTGGTATGTGAACAGGGGGTGAGGAGTTTGTTTTTGAGACAGATAAACTGGGAGAAACTAAGGAGTTTCAGTTTTTTCATGTAACAAAGGTGAAGGCAGACTATTCCCCTGACTTGGTTTCCCTGGTTGTTTTGGATGCCTTCTGTGCTCGGTTCCTTTTGAAAAGGAACTACTGCAGCTTGCAGTGATGAAAGGACAGTCTTTGCCCACTTGCATTTTGGTGCATTTTTCAACATGTGTAATGTAGCAGCCAAACCCAACGAGACATTGTGTCATTTCATATGCTAGGCGGTTTCATTTTCCTTGGAAGGATCATAATGTTATGCATGGTTGTATATAATTTATCATTATCATCAGCTACTCTGAGAATGGGATGACTTTGTTAAGCCTTACCAGGACTAGCAAAGTAGGAGGTGTAATGAAATCCTTCCAGATCCACAGCCTTGTTTAAGCACATATGGAGTTTAGAAAGCTGTTATGAATTATTGTTATAGTACAGGATCACTTGTATTACTTGAAGAATATTATGGTTTAGTAGCATATTGTGTGGGATCTTTGGTAATGGAAGTTGTAATTATTTTAAGAATTGTATTTCTGTATTAATTTTTGAAGTGGTGGATTGAACTGGCTGTGATCCTGTTGCAGTCTCTGGTGCTCATTCTGTTACTTTCTTCTGTTGCAACTTGTATCCTCTTTATTACAAAGTAAAGCCAATTCTGTAACAGGAATATCTACTGAGATTCTGAAGGATGGACGAAAGTATTCAGAAGTGCTAAAAAGAGAATAGCTTTGTTTTTCACCCTGTAACCCTGTGCTAGTACTGCCCTGCTGCTGCACAGATAGAAGACTGCATAGGATTACCTGTTGCACAGGTTTAGGGAGGGAAGCTGGCTACACAGCAGCCAGCTTTGGAAATCTGCTTTGTTTTCTGCAGGTCTGGATGAAACTTTGTGCTGGAGCTGCTTGTCCTGTAGAGGGTTAGAAAAGAAGCTGTCTGCATCAAATGGAAGCATTCAAAGCTTTCAAGCCCTTAATAGAAAAACACCATAATGTTAGAGAAAAGTTGAGTGCTACTGGTGCTTCCTGCTAAGGAGGGCCAAAGACTATCAGCAGAGGCAGTTTAAGCTCTCTATAGAGTGCTTAAACACAGCTACCCTGTGACACTCCATAAAAGCACGCTGCAATTCAGTGTGGTCCTGCTTGTCAGTACTCTTCACTAATAGTCTTTTTGCTGATTTCAGTCCCGGCTACAGTAGTCCTACCAAAGCCATTATACTTAATATTTGATAATCTTTATCAAATGGTTTATTAAAGACCAGACTCTACCTAATTATTAAATTATTTTGTTTAGCAATACAAACTTTGCATTTGATAATCATAGAATCACCAAGGTTGGAAAAGACCTGTAAGATCATCCAATCTGACTGTCCAGCTATCACCAGTAAACAGTTCTTCCAGGAATTTGGACATTGCTTGACAGGCATTTTAATTGTTATTAGACAGATGCTTTCCAGTGGGAAACTTGCATTCAGAACAAAAGAAATCATGTAGGAGCTTTGAACATAGACTTTGAAGACTTTCTGTCTTCCACCATGTTGAGTGCCAGCACTTTAATACTCCTTGCAGTGAAATTCTGTTTTTATGTTTAATGTTTGTGTATTGTTTTAGACTCCATGACAGAAAGATGTGCATAATAGGACTGAGCATCCTAATGGAGTTACAGAACCGACCACCTGCAGTGGATGCTGTGGCTGCTCAGATTGTCCCTTCAATCCTCCTCCTCTTCCTGGGCTTGAAACAAGTTTGCGCCTCACGAGAACTCACAGAACACGAGGATCATGCTAAAGATGATAAACACGTTGCAGAAGATAATGGTAAAATCTCCCCTTTTCACATTGTGGATTTTGTCTGGATTTAATTTAAAGGGGGTAAGAAATTGCAGTTCGCTTCTAAGGCTCATTAGTCTGCTGAAAGTAAATAGGCCTATTGGGTGCTTGTAAGATCACCTTAGAAATGGACTTTTCCTCCCAAAATTTAATCAAAATGTTTCATCGTATCATAGGTAATACTTTGTGAGAGGATAGTATTGGTTCAGAAGTAACAACAAAACTTGCAAATCCAGTTTTCTAGGTTGTGAATGTACTCCATCTTCTCATACAGACAGCAGGAAATTTCCAGGGCTCCACTGGCTTTATTCTTGATTTTGGGCAAGAAGCTGTTCCTAGTACCCAGCTATTTTAAAGACCTGTTCTAGTGAACTTTGAAGGACATCCTTGCAAGTCTTTGTCCAAACGGAATATGGCACGCAGTGATTTGTGAAGTGGAGGCAACAGACGTTCCTGGACTAGAAAGACTTCTTATTGCTATGGCTAGCAGAAGGGAGAAAACATCTGAAGAATACATTGCAGTGAGAGTTGGAGGAAGTGAATTTTGTGCAGTGTTGCAGGCAGATAGGTGTGGCCTTATTTGATTTGGAATTGGAGATTGCTTGAGGTCTGAAAATCGGAGTGGGTCTAAGTAGATAATATAATCCTTTAAAATTTCACATGATTATTCTGTAATAGAGTTACAGAATTCCTTGAAATGTGTAGGGGTACATACAGTATAGAAGCAGCACAGAAATTTCCAAATCTCCATCCTGTGATTCAGTCACTCTGCTTGTTGCAGATATGGTCATTTTATACTTTTTATCCTGTTAACACCGGATAAAAACAGAGGAACATGAAGGTTTGGCATTGGGGGGGATTTTATTTTAACCTCAATTGTAAGTCAGAAATATCTTTTCTTAAATAAGAAATAGCAATGTGTGGAGTTGCATGTTGGAATTGAATATAATTCAGGATATAATAATTGTTTCATAAACAGAATGAGAGGTAGGGCTAAGCAAAAGATGGAATTTTGGATAAAGATAGTGATGGGAGATTTTGTCAAAGATGAATTTAAACCAATTATTTTGGATTGCACAATAATTGCACAAAAGCAGCGTACACAAAAGAAGAGCAAAGATGCCAGTTTCACATTCCCCAGGTGTTTTTAGAAACAAAAGTTTAACAAAAGATCTTGAATGTATAAAACATTTTAATAGCTTTTTTTCTGAGATTTTGCGAGAAGGTTTTATTAGAGGATCTTCTTTCCAACCTGAAATGAGATTCATTAATTATTTTCATTTGTAAGTCATTGTTTCCCAGTACTTTTTAAACATTGCTTTATAAAACACATGAATGCTTTTGCAGAAGAGATACCAAGTGATGAGGAGGAGACAAATGAAGTGAGCCAGGCAATGCAAGAGAACCATGGCGCAGGTGGAGATGGAGGTGGAGAAGAAGAGGATGACGATGATGATGATGATGACTGGGATGAAGATGCCTTGGAAGAGACTGCTCTTGAAGGGTTCAGCACACCTCTTGACCTTGAAAATGGTGTTGATGAATACCAGTTTTTCACACAAGCACTTTTAGGTATGTGTGTGCTGGTGGGTAGAATGATATGATACGATGAAACAGCTTGGCTGTCGTCATTGGGAAAAGCCCTTCTCTTTGTTTCTAGCAGTAACGTAGATTATTGAAACTGGAAATGCTTTTTAATGTTAATCCTAAGATTTTTTTTCACTTCCAGGTACTGCAAAAAATAGGTGGCAGTAAATACAGCTAGAGATTTATTGTCTTCATGTTGTCTTTAAGAACTTTTCAAACACAGCCTAAATAAGTGAGACTCGGTCACTAGAGGGACTCCAATATATATAAACGTTTGTTGCTTTCTAGATATTAAAATGATAATGGAAAACTTGTTTTCTTCTTTTCCAGTCTGTCTAGTCCTGCTCTTTTAGTTTTGATAAGAATCTTCAGTTAATAGATTTGCTTCATCATTGTCCATGAATAACTCACTGTTAAATTGCTGTTTCAGAAAGCAGAGAATGTAATGAAGTTCCCCCCAGATGGCTTGTTTACAGTGGGGATTCTGTGCTGAGAAACTGACAGGAATACTGAATCTATTTTACAGCGCGAGTTCTGCTTGTTTTCCCATGTGTTTCATCTTATTCTTCTGAAATTACCTTGCGGTGTAAGCTGATGATCACTTTCTATCCATTCCTGTTCTGACAGCGGTGCAGAGCCGAGATGCTGCCTGGTACCATTTGCTGACAGCACCGCTGAGTGAGGATCAGAAGAAACAGCTGCAGGAAATTTATACATTAGCAGAGCACCGGCGAAATGCTGCAGGTAAGTCTCTTCTCTGGGGCCGTTTCAAGTGTTGCAGGGATGGTGGAACTGCATCTAATCTATAACAACAGAATAAATCTCCGTGCTCATTATCAAAAGTCTTACAAGAGGCTTGAGAAGCATAAATAGGATATTGTGCTTGTATTATCCTTTGTCTGGAAATGTGCGCTATTCCGATTACCATTGCTTGTAATTAATTGCCCTCTTATTGACATATGCTACTGTTAGAACAGGCTATCAACTTGTTTGGCACAACCTGACATTTGACATGAAAAGCAAATTAAGGCAATAGCTCGCTGTCAGCCTGTCACTGGATGAAGATTACTGTCGAACATTGTGTTTAACAGCTCTGTTACTTTTCTACTGCTACCATTGCCTTCACAGTCAGTGTACTGTTCTGGGTGTTTAGAGCAATTGCATGATGGAAAAATAAATTCATATTAAATCAAGATGCATGCAGATTAGCATGAGATACAGTTGTTCTGTAGAGGATGAGTTTCTCCATTGTGTTGAAGAGGTGTGTGTTTATGCATTTATAGAAAAACTAGGTGTGGTGTAATTTATTACTGTCGCTGCAGTTAGGAAACAAAAGTTTTTTACACAGTTTTGTATTATAAGATGAATAGTATTATCTCTGGCAAAAGGGTTCTCTTCAGGCTATTGCTCATATCCCTTCTCTTCTTTGAATTCTAGAGACTAAGACAATAGAACAGCAAAGTGGCTACACATTTGACAACAAAGGACTGGTCATAGCATTTAACTTTGCTGGAAATACTCCTGGTGGAAACTGAAGGATCGACTACGAAGGTCAATGAGAAGGGTTTCATCATCACATTTTCTTAAACTCATCATGACTTCTGAGTGATAGGGGAGGGTAATTTAATGCTGCTGAAGGTTTTCTGAAATATAGCAGTGTGCTTCCCCCACCAGAATGCTTTTTCTAACCGGCTACTGTAATTTACAAATTCTTGTGGTGTTTTTATAATTTGATGGACTGAAAAGGAAACATTTGTCCTCAAGGAACCTGAATGAATGGGAGGGGCCAGGCTGCGTCTAATTGAGTTGCACTTCTCAGGTTTTTTGCTGTGCAGAATTGATAGATTCATATGGATAACAGTGCCTTCTGTTGTACATGGATTGCCTGAACAAATGGATTTTTGGAGTGCATTATAATTTTTTAAGTGTAAGAACATTTCTCGATAACACTGTAAGCCTTGGTTCCATGTTTTGCTGTCATCTGCTTTTTACTACACCATTTAACTGTTTGTTGGTTGTATACCTGTTGCTGGATTCAGAATATGATCTCTTCCCAGTTTGGTGCAGGCCAGATGTGAATAGGGAAGCATCTGCTGGAGTTGCAGAGCATACACTGGTTGTCAGAGTGTCTTAACAGAACTGCAGATTTTCCCTTGATGTAGTAGTCTTAAATTATTTCTCTTAGCTATGGAATCAACTCACTTGAGTTATGATGGCACGTGTGGCAGTTGGCTATCCTAAATCTACATTGACATTACCTCCTGCCTGCACAAGTGGCATGGCCCTCTCATGTAGATGTGCTACATGACAACTTTTTATTTTCACTCTTTTTGTTGGGTTCATATAACCTGATTTTCTGTTTTTATTCATTCATTACCATTCCAATGGTAGTACTGAATGCATAATGTGGTACAAAATATATACAGTATTTTATTTATCTTAGAAGAAAAACAGTTGTGGACTTGCTTTTTACTGTTACACTTCTGTGATAAAATTTCTGGTCTGCATTCCATTTGGCTGTTCTTTTTCAATGCCGAAATTTTGTTATCAGCCAGATTTTTTTTTCCTGACTTTCAAAGGCTGGTTTCTCATAAATTGAAACATATACAATAGGTTTTTTTCTTTTTTGTGAATATGTTCATTTAGTGAGAAACTTAGCTTTATGAGAAACCGACAGTAATACTAGATTGAGTGGCTGCCCCTTCTCTAGCTCTGTTGGGGTCTCAGTAATGTAGCCAAAATAAGTTGGGGTGTTTTAGAATGTGCAGTTTGAATTGAAGATAAAATGTTCAGTGCAGATTTTGTCTCTGTGTTAATTTCTATAAGACTTAAAAATATTTACAAAGCAATTTTAAGCACACACTGATGATGTAATTCTTTAGAGCACTGACCCAACTGGAAAGTTGTAGCCCTTTCCCATACACTATCAGATTTTAAAAATTGTAGACAATTACAGATTGCTGGTCCTGCAGTGTGCTGAATCTTTTTTATTTTTTTTTTTCAATGTCAAAGTAATTCTAGTTCAGTCTGATAGATCTGAAGCTCTCTGTGCCTTGGCATCAGGAAAAGGCCATAGTGATGCTGCTTTTTCCTTGCCCTATACTCTGGAATCTTCTGAGTCTTGAATTCACAGCATAGAAGGTTTCACTCTGTTTTCCTTGTTCTTCCACTTGGTGTGAGACTTAATTCCGGCACTGTTCTCTGATGCTGCTTTTTTTTTTTTCCACAGCGGCTGCATAGTAGAAGTGTTTCATGTAGGCTTTTCACTGCTATTTTTCACTTAATAGCAACAATGAAAATTTCCTACTTTTAGGTCTCTTGTACATATGGAAAATGGTAAGAACTCCAAGGTCCAAATTTTCAGAAGTGAAAAATACATTGAGCTGCACTGGACAGGTTCTTACAAGTTGAACAGCTGAGGGCAGGAAGGCCAGGAAAATCATAAGTCACTTTTGCTGATTTAGGCCTGGAGGTATATTTACTAAGTGACAGGATGGTGTTGCATCCACTTTTTGTTGGTGAGTTTCTCAGAAACCGTGAAAGTTTTTAAATCTTGACAAATTTAAGAAATGCTTTTTGGAAGTTGAGGATATGAGCAACGTTTCTCCTATCTGACAACTGCAGTTAAGTATTAGGTAGGTAAAGTGTTTGAGACCTTTTATTATTTTATTTAAAAAGAGATTGTTGAACAGAATTTCTTTCAAAACCTGATTTCCTCTTCTACGCTGCAATGCAGAGTAGAAGGGGGATTTATTTTTCTTCTGCTAATAAGGTTGCTTGCACAATCACAAGTTAATAGTTAGAAGTTAATGTGTTCAAGGAAAAATCTGCTTTTGCATAGCATCATCTCTGTGTCACTCAGCTGAACTGTGGCTGCTCCCTGGTTCTGCTTCTTGTATACTTTTCAAGTCAACTGCCAGGAAAATTTCAGCCAGATGTTTCTAATAAGGGGTTTAATCAGCTGCATGGAGTCGGGAATCTTTGTTGTCCATTTCACAGTGGGGGTCAGAGATATCTGAGGGGATGGCATGTAAAAAGGTTAAATGCCCTTCCCTTCCCAGGAGATTCATGAGCAAATGTTTCTACTGGCAAAAGCAAATGTCAATTATTTCATTTCTTTTCTTGGAAAAGGATTCCACCCAAAAAGATTTACTGGGCTCTAGCCTCCACTTTAACATATGGTTCTCTTTTAACATGATAAATATCCGTTTATACATGATCATAAATAGGTAGTGGATTTTAGGGATTTCTTTCTGAGTTGTGTCCAGCTTTGTACTACATTAAAAAGAGAGTAACACAAACGTGCGTTACTGTCTGACTTTCAAGCCAAGATAATAATGGGATTTCACATTCCAGCGTCGGTCAGCCAAGCATGATGGCCACTGGAAGCATAGAGAATCATGAACATACTGTAAAATAAATTAAAAAAAAAAAAAAGACTGCTGAGAACTGACCAGTGTTGCTCCATACCCATGTTCCAGAAGTGTGAAGGTGACTTGTGGACGTTGTGAGGGCTTTACATATGAAATTAGCATTGTGTTGGTTATAATCACATCAAATATTAATCTAAATAATAACTTTCTTTTCCAGATTAAATTAACCCATCCTGGGTATTGAATTGCTAATGCTGTTTTGTCAGTCTTGAGAGAAAAATAAGAATCACCACATGTTTGGGCTGCCTTTTTGCTCTCTTTCTTTCAAAGTCAAAGCATTTGATTTACCTTCATACAACAGCAAAATCCTTCAACAAAATGGCCAGCTCCAGGAAGAGAGCAGAATATCAAGTTGAAAACAAGTCTTAAATAACTTGAAGAAAAAAAAAAAAGAACAACCTTCCTTATGCACACAGTCAGATTGAAGTAGATGTGCTTTGGAACACAAGTCAAAATATATAAAGAATGTTACACAAAATGATATTTTGACATTCTTGGTTTTGGAGGGAAAGGGTGTCTGCATGAGACATGAAATGAAGTACTTTAGGACGTGCCATTTGCCTATGAAGTCCAGGCAGTTTGTGGTTCTGGATTCCATCATACATTGTAGAAGACAAAAGGTAGGACTGTAAAGAATTTTATTGTATTATCTTTTTTTTGTTCCTTTTACTATAGAGCAAGTGTCTGTATTGAGACATGTGAGCCAAAGGAATTGTAGACAACATGAATGATTAACTATCTTTTGTTTCCAGAATACTTTTCAGCCTTTTTTTTTTCCTCATTTCTTCCCTTTGCCAACCATTGTTAGCAGATATTTCAAGGGATATACAAAATAATTGAAAAAAATTAAACTTCTGCAAAATGTGTTAAATCCCATTGCTCCTGAAACAATGGAACCTATCTCTATCTCTAGAACAAAGTCCCTTATTTAACATATGCAGGTGATACAGAACTCCAGAAGCCCTCACTTTTGTCTGCAGGTTGAGAGGAGCCTTTCTGTGATTTACTACTTAAAATGGGCAGATTCCAAAATGGTATTTTGAAATCCCCACACCTTGCACTTACATTTGCTCAAATGATAGCCAAAAACATACCATGTAATTGGGATACTCAGCCCTAGTTCTGGTTTATGCAGTAGTCAATCTTTCAGTAATGTTAGACAGTCTAATGTTGAGTTCCTCAAGGATCTCTGCCTACAAATAAGAACATAAAACAAGTTTGAGAGCTTCTTTATCTTTGCAGCTGCATATGGAATCACATTTCCCTCATTGCAGCAAAGCATAGAGCAGATATTGGTACCAAGGTCTTGGTAGTGTGAACGAAAACAGCACCCTCTTCTCTCACATGTCAAGTCTAAACCCAAACAGATGGGAAACAGTAAAGGTGGATGTTCTGATGTGTTAGAAGAAGCTAAACACTATGCCAGATACCAGAAAGTCTTAGCATAAAATGGTATCATAAAAAAGGATGAGCTTGCTTTTGACATCTCTTCCACTGCTATTACTTATGTAAAATGCAAACCACCCACCCCATAAAACAAACAAACAAAAATCCATAAAATCACAATGTAAAAATGATAGAGAACTAAAGAAGTGCTTGTGCACGAGGTGGATAGAAACTTCTGGCATGCAGATCTACTCACAATGCTCAATTTAAATGCACTGAATTACTTTAATTACTTTTAAAATAGAAAATGCAACGTCTGTCTAGATGTCAGCAACATGAACCTGACAGCCATTACTACAAGATAAAGGCTTTGTGGGGTTTTCTGCAGCAGAGAACAAATGTATCCCTTTAAAAAGTCTGAGCACCTCTTGCTGTGGCTGATGTGCTATCACCAGTGGGAGACACTCCGTGGGTTTACAGCATTTCTTAAAAAAATGTCAGCATACATCCTATGAAATTGCTACCTAAGGTGCTCTCTATCAAGGGAGCTAACTGACTCCCTGAATATTGAGCTTTGTGGCTTCAGAGAGAAACTGCAGCCATATGCAACTATGATGAATTAGGAATCAGGAAGGCATCCATTTAAAGTAAGACAACATGTTTGATATGATCCTGCACTGTTCCAAATTTCACCTGGATCCTCTAGAGGAGAGTTCGAGCAATGTGTTCCATGCCTTTGTTCAGAAAAAGAATGCACTTGACTCCTTGGGCAGCCCCACATAGCTGCAGTGCTCAGGTTCGGAAATGCAGATTTGATTACAAATTGATAGATGCTCATTAAAAAAAAATAAAATGAGGGAGGTGGGTGTTAATGCTGCAGCTCTCTCTGTAAGCTGTAGAGAGGTTCAAAATCTTCAGTGTTTGGCTATTGCACAGTGGAGTGGGATGTGCATGTGCAGATAGATTGATTTCTCCAATGTGAATGGAACCATGCTGGTTCTAGCGTTCAACTGAGGTGAAGGGAAAAGGTTGGTCAGATTCTGCCTACTGGCCCATCCTGGATTATGTTATAATGAAATGAAATGCAAAATCGGAAAAATTATTTGCTAATTGAAGCTGCTGAGCAACAAAAATGAGTGTTTACTTGAAACTGGATTTCGATATTTTGTGGTTGTTTTAATTTTCAATCTTTTTTGTCATCGAAATGCAGAATTACTACATGAATAGGTAGGCCTATGATTTTTTACAAGACTCCTTACCATTGAAGGTGTTTACCCAGGAATTGTGCCTCATTTTCAGATGTTTTCAACATGATTGTTAGCAAAGTTGCACGTGTCCCTTTTTCACTATTTTCTACAAACAGAGATTGTGGAAATGGACCTAAGAGAAAAATGGATGGCGCTTCGAAAGGAGAAGACTGTGTACAAACAGGTTATTTTTAGAAAACAGAACAATAGCCTCTGAAGAAAATAGGAAGCAATAAATAGAGTATGAGGTAAATAAATGGATGAAGAACAATGTAAGCTAGGTTCTGTTCTTTGATCGTGGCTTTAATTTTTTTTATTGTTGACAAACATCGTGTGGAATTTGCTTTGGGTTTTATGTGCTGTTGGTAATGCACTTAGCATAAACCACCTGGGATTTTTTTGGTTCAAAAAGAGACCATGCGGATTTCTTTTGATTATTAAAAGCAAAGGTAACAGCCCATGTTTGTAATGATGAGAGGGAGATCACTGCGTTACACTGTCAGGTTGGACTGCAGGATCATTGCCTTTGCAGAAGCCTAAGACAGAGAACTGTGGGTTGGTTTTGAGGGTAAGAATTGACAAATGCAAAACATGCAGCGATGACAAGAAGAATCTCTTCCTAACTTAAAGAATTGTGTACAGTGTTCTCTTAAGCTGCACTGAATTTGCTTTAAAAATAGTAATAAATCTTACTGTTTAGGTCAAATGTTACATCTGTTGTGCATTTATATGAGAGGAATAATATTTCTTAAAGAAATGTAACATGCCACCTACCAAGGAGCCCAATCTTATTTTATAGCCTCTCTTCATACAGCTATAAAACTTATTTACAAGTAGACCCCAGAATTAATTTTAAACAATAGCATGTGTTACCCAGAGTTATTAAGTGCATTTGTGTAGCAGTGTTTGTTAACCTCATGTTCTCTCAGGCTACTATTC